GAGAAGAGAATGGCTACCCACTCCACCATTCTTGCCTGGAGAATTCCATGGACAGAGGAGCCTGGCAGCTATGGTCCACAGGGTCACAAAGAGTTGGACACGACTGAGCGACTAACGCTAATGTTAACTATGCTTGACTGCACATATTTCCTAAAATCACATATAAACTGGCTTCTCCCCTGCCTCCTTTATGTTGAGTAGTTACCTCCCAGCTCTAGTCTTCATAAAGACCCTGATAAAACGAAAATTCACAACTCTCACACTGTGTATTTTTAAGATATTTACTTTACTTTTATTTAGATAGCTTCATCGACTCAGCGGACATGAATTTGAGCAAACTGCTGGAGACAGTGAAGGGCAGGGGATCCTGGTGTGCTGATGACTGCTGGGAAAACCACAGCCTGGATGGGATGGGCCTTGTGGACAAAGTAATGTCTCTGCTTTTTAATATGCTCTCCAGGTTGGTCATAGCTTTCCTTCCAAGGAGTAAGCATCTTTTAATTTCATGGCTGCAATCACCATCTGCAGTGATTTTGGAGCCCCAAAATGAAGTCTGTCACTGTTTTCGCTGTTTACCCATCTCTTTGCCATGAAGTGATGGGACCAGATGCCATGAGCTTAGTTTTCTGAATGTTGAGCTTTAAGCAAATTGCTTCACTCTCTTTCACTTTCATCAAGAGGCTTTTTAGTTCTTCTTCACTTTCTGCCATAAGGGTGGTGTCATCCGCATATCTGAGGTTATTGATATTTCTCCCAGCAATCTTGATTCCAGCTTGTGCTTCCTCCAGCCCAGTGTTTCTCATGATGTACTCTGCATATAAGTTAAATAAGCAGGGTGACAATATACAGCCTTGCCGTGCTCCTTTTCCTATTTGGAACCAGTCTGTTGTTACATGTCCAGTTCTAACTGTTGCTTCTTGACTTGCATACAGGTTTCTCAAGAAGCAGGTCAGGTTGTCTGGTATTCCCATCTCCTTCAGAATTTTCCACAGTTTATTGTGATCCACACAGTCAAACGCTTTGGCATATAACTTAGCACTGAACAACAATGACAACACATTCTGAAAGTGATCAGAATCCACTGGTGGATTTTGAACAGCAGAATGCCATGATCTGACCTAGATTATTGCAAGGATGAAGTTGGTGAAGTGAAAGTTGCTCAGCTGTGTCCAACTCTTTGCGACCCCACAGGCTTTACAGTCCATGGAATTCTATAGGCCGGAATGCTGGAGCACGTAGCCTTTCCCTCCTCCAGGAGAGTAGAAGGGAATGTGTATGGGACACACAGCGGAGTGCTTGACTCAGTAAATATTTAATAGATGTTTTTTCTCTTTTCTGAAGCAAAGGAGAACAAAACGGCAAATCAGGCTACTCTGTGCAACATGAAACACTACCCCCCTAGTGGGGAAAATCTGAACTGTTCTGCAAGCAAAGCCTAAAAAGTTTAATTCATAAAAGATGTGACGTTAAACATCTAAGCTACTGTAGTTCCCATAGAATGAAATAAATCTTGCTATGAATAAGAACTTCCTTGTCCGAAGTGATTTTTAAGTAAATACAAGGTAATGTGCTTTGCAGGACATTGCTTATTCTGTTTCTCCTACCATGTGCAATTCTTTCCTCCAGGGAGGCATATTTTGAAAGGCTTCCACCACAAATATATGGTGAGGTTTCATCTTCAGTCGGGAGAAGGACACGGCAACCCACTCCAGTGTTCTTGCCTGGAGAACCCCAGGGACGGAGGAGCCTGGTGGGCTGCCGTCTGTGGGGTCGCACAGAGTCCGACAGGACTGACGCGACTTAGCAGCAGCAGCGGCACCTTTCAGTCGCACATCCCACTCTGGCTGGGTGATCTCGTTACCAAACCGAACTGCTCGCCTGACGTGTGAAGAGCCAATCCACTGGCACCAGGCCGTGGTGAAGGAAGGCGAAACGGAGCAGGACTCCGTGGAGCTCCTGGGCAGGGAGGCCTTTCCAACAGGTGCGAACTGGGGATGGGAGCGGATGAAGAGACAAGAGAACAGCCAAGAAGCAACAGCGCGGCCCTGGGGCAGAGTCCAGGTTCCCCCGCAAGGGAGCACCGAATCTCTGGGCTCTTTTCAGAACGGAAACCCCCAAGCAACGGAAGATGTTCGCATTCTTCATCTCGGAGAAGGTCACGTCTGCTGTCCTCAAGGAGCGCATCGGGAGCCCACCTGAGCCCAGCAGAGCAGTGTGGGCAGAGGGGCCTGGGGCCCGGCCACCGGTCACTCAGAGTCCGGCCCGGCTGGGCGGCAGCGCGCACGCGGGGAAGCTTAGGTCGGCGAGAGTCGCTCGGGCGTGTCCGACCGCACAGTCCACGGGATCCTCCAGGCCAGAATACTGGAGTGGGCAGCCTTTCCCTTCTCCACGGGATCTTTCCAACCCAGGGATCGAACCCCCATCTCTCGCAACGCACGCGGATTCTTTACCAGCTGAGCCACGTGATGAAAGATTCATGCAATGATGCGGGCAAAACGCGTGTGTCAAGGCCCGCCCGCCGCTGTGCCGACGGCCAGGAGAGCGGGGGCCCCGCGGAAACCCGGCGCGGGCGCAGCGGAGGGGCCGGACCGCAGTCTCCCCCCGCCCCCGGGGTCTCGGCCCCTCCCCGTCCCTGGCCCGCCCACTGAGGCCGCGCTCCCCCCGGCGGCGCGCTTTTCCCGCGCGGTTTCCCGAGTCGGGGGCCCGGCTCGGTCGCCCCCCGGCCCCCGGCGGCGATGGAGAGGACCCGCGCCGAGGTGGACGCGACGCTGCAGACCGCCAAGCTGGACGCGGCCGAGCTGCTGCCCGCCGCGCACTGTCTGCGCTTCGGGCCCGCGGCCACCGGCGACGTGTGCCTGCTGGAGCTGGAGCCCGCGCTGTTGGGGGCCGGAGAAGAGACCCGGGGGCGGGGGCGCAGAGAGGAGCCCGCGCTGCGCCGGCGGCTGCTGGCGGGCGCGGGTCCGGAAGCGGCGTCCGCGGAAGTCGGGGGCTGTTCCAGAACCGCGCTCCCAGGCCGTGCGCCGAGCACCTGCGTTTTACCGTGACGCCCGGTGATGGTGTCAACATTGTAAATTACAGAGTTCCTCTCGCCTTCTCCTTAGGTTTATTTTACCCAGGGTGTAGCCAGGACTTTGCGGGGAGAGGTTTAAAACTTTTTAAAAAACAGATTTGGTAATTGTGGAAGGCCCTCTAAAAACAAACTAACAAACAGCTTGCTTGGGGTCACTCCTGATAATCTAAAGCTGTTTTCTAATTCTAGGTCCCCTGCACATTTGCTGCAAGACCATGGGTTAAAAAACATGCAGGAGAAGTCCATTCTCTGTCGCATCTTTGTGCAGCGCCTGCACATGAGGAGTTAGGGTTCTTGTTTAACTTTCTTCTGCACTGCTGTTCCTCTCACACCTGTATTTTATTATGTAGTTGTGGCCAGGTGGTGAAGAGTCTGCCTGCCATGCAGGAGACCCGGGTTGGGAAGATCTCCTGAAGGAGGGCTTGGCAACCCACTGCAGTACTCTTGCCTGGAGAATCCCATGCGCAGAGGAGCCTGGTGGGCTGCAGACCGTGGACTCTAAAAGGGTCGGACACAACTGGAGTGACTCACCTTTGTTATCTTATAGGCTTTTAAAAATTGGGGATTTCCCTGGTGGTCCAGTGGCTAAGACTCTGCGCTCCCAAGGCAGGGGGCCGAGGTTCAATCCCTGATCAGGGATCTAGATCCCACAAGCTGCGGCTAAGACCTGGTGCAGTTAAATAAATTTGTTTTCTTTTTAAATTATGCCGCCTTTAGGCTGTCTTTCACTTTTCTTACTTTACTCATCAAACATTATTATAGGCTAGTCTTCAGATGCTAGTAGTGAAGGATCTCTCAGGAACTGAGGGAGAAGCATCACTGTGGGTTTTCATCCCAGCTGAGTTGGCAGGACTTTGAGAAAAGACTTAAGGTGTGAGCACAAGCTTTGTCCAGTTATAGTTAATCTAGCTGGCAAAAACCAGAATGAAAAGGAATGTTAACATTTTTTTTTTTCAATTTTTTGGTGAGGGAAGGGGTTGTTGTTTTAAACAAAATATTTGAAAGAGATGGTACAATGTGGACATATATGTTAAGAGTAGGTACTTGGGACTCTTAAATGTTGTTAGCACCAGGAAGCTTTAAAAAAAAAACAACACCACCCTTTATTTTCACTTAAATGAAAGATTAGTTTTTTTTTTTAATTCCGTCTTTTAGTTCACGGTTTTTATTACTTATTTAAAAGAAGTGAATTGGGTACAGGAGAATTAAATATAGACAAGGAAGACTGCCAGAATCAACTCCGTTTTTGTTATCTCCATTATCTTCGTCATTTATTTTTCTCCTTCCCCCTTCTCACTTTTGACCTTACCCTCTTCCTTCTTGCTTTTTTTTCTACCTGTGACCCCTTGTCAGAGACATCGTTTACTCTAGTTTGTAAACATACCCATTGCACATTTTTCTTTCAGCACTGTGGCCTTCTTTTCTCAAGGTCCCAGTTTCTTTGCAGCGTAGGTGATGATTAGGCCAGGATGTGCTCATTTGATGGTGAGGGGTTGCTCAGGCCAAAACAGGAAGGACCACTTGGTGGATACCATGGCCAGCAGCATAGTCCTCATCAGGGAGCTTATTAGTAATGCAGAATCCTATGTCCCATCCCAGACGAATTGCATCCTGACCTGCTTTTTAACAGGGTTCCCTAACATGCATACTCATAAATTTGAAAAGTATTGCTTTAGTGATTTTAGAAAGCTGTGACATCTTGACTGCAGGTTACAGATATTCTTCCCAGCGGTTTACACAAAGAAGCCATGTGGTGACATTTGGCCTCTTTGGATTTGGTGGGTTTTTTTTTTTTCCTGTATGGAGTTATTTTTCCTTAGTGAGTCAATTGGCCCAGTCCTTGACCTGTGGAACCCATCATTGGGGGTGGGGGGGGGGGTGCCCTGTGAGAGGAGGGGCCAGACATAGCCTCAAGACTCCGTTTTAAATTCTGGAAACCTAGAGGGTTTTGGAACTGTGTAATGAGGCTGGCCATTAGTGTCTCAATAAGTCATGTATTTTTTCCCCCCATTTTCCTGCAGTCTAGTGATTCGTGGTGATAAGGATGAGCAGGCTGTTCTGTGCAGTGAAGACAAAACATATGATTTGAAAGTAGCAGACACTTCCAATATGTTGCTTTTTATTCCTGGTTGTAAAATTCCAGAGCAGCTGAAGATGGAAGAAACACACTGTAACATTATTCACACTGAGGTACTGTCTTCTATTTCCTGACTTATTTGAAAAAGACAACATGCTTTTAATTGAAAACTAAATTATTGAAGTGTGGGACTTCCCTGGTGGTCCCGTGGTTAAGACTCTGTGCTCCCAATGCAGGCAGCGTGGGTTCGATTCCTGCTTCAGGAACTAAGATCTCCCATGCAATGAGGCAAAAAAAAAAAAAGAAAAAAAAAACTGAAGGTGTGAAATGTATAATCACAGAGAATCTGAAAATTTCTCTGATGAAATTGGAAATTTCTCAGCATTATTTTTGTTTGGAGTCATGTAAAGTTGTCTTTATTTTCCCAATGTGATGTTTAAGTCCCAGATAAGCTGACCGTTTTCTGTAATATAGAAAATTTACTGTTAGGTGACTCATTCTAAAAGTTTTACCTATTTTCAGGGAGTTTTGCTGTGGATAGGTTTTGAAAGGTGATTTCCTCAAACTATAGCTAGTGCATTAGGTGACATAGGGAAATGAAAAAATAGGTTTTTGAAGGAAGTGTGTTTCTCACCTTTGAAGTTGGTTTAGTTCTTTACTGTCCATAGCCATGTATAACAAATTCTTAATTACTTTGGAGACTACTGATGGCAAATACCAAACAAAAGTTTCTATCCTGGCTAGATAGTTACACATATATAGTCAAAGCACCTTAATTCTATTAGATTAACTTCAAACCAACTACTTCCTAAAAATAGAATTGGAATAGAAATAAGGGAAAATACTGGGACATGTGAGTGGTTCATATGATATCGCTGGAACAGAGGAACTGCCAGTAAATATCCTACTTTGGTTTCTGTAGAGTTATGTCTTTGATTGTAAGGAGCTATAAATTTTGACTTTCATCCTTTTGGAAAAGATGTTATTTTTACCTGTCTTGTGGGTGTTTTGGAGAGGGTAGGAACATCCGTGAGTACCTTTGAGCTCTTCTTACCGGAGTTCTGTGCTCTGGGACAGAGACCTGCTAGCCAGAGTTTCAGAATCTTCGGGTTGCACTTCAGATGCTTAAAGAGGCTCGGTAAGGAATGCGCCTGAGCAGAGCAGACTGCATTGATAAATGGCAGTGGGTACCCAGGCTCGGGGGTCATAGGGAGTGGGGGTCTGTGACAGATTGGGGTGCACAGGCCTCAGGCAGGTAAGTTGGTGCTTCTTGGCCTTGTGGGAAAGCCGCCCAACATTGCCAGACCTTCCGATTTCTTTTGTCCAAGTGAAGCTTAAAATTTAGGTTTTAGGGGGCAAAATCTTATTTTTCAATGTTGGCAGCTAATTAAAAGTCCATACTAAACTTCCTTTTCTCCCTCAACACAAAGGCACACCCCAACATCTGTGTGCTGGGTCCAGCGGGCAGGGTGCCTCTTTGTGAACTGTGCACAAGCTCAGTGGTCTTTCTGTTTTGGTCCTTGAGCTTTGCTCAGACTCCGCGGCATCGCTGCCCGGCCCTGGACCTTGTCTCATCAGTCACAGCTTCTACTGGTTTGAGAGTGGATGCGTCCCCTGCCCTTCCGTCTTAGAGCTACAGTGGATCCCAGAGAGAATCCATTTCAACCTTTTTCCATTTCTTTCATGTGAAACAATTATTGAGCATCTACTACGTGCTGGTGTAGATTGGGCAAATCCTGGGGATTGAAGAGAAGGATAACAGCAATTTATCTGTCCTTTTGCCACTATCACTTGATTTGAGTGACAGGCCTCTCACTGTTTCTCAAGTCCAGTAAGGAATTAGTTGCTGTTCTACCCAGTGGAAGCTCTTGCATTGAATAGAAGTCTTTCTTTTTTAACATCTGCTTAATTTTAGCATCATGAGCAATACAGAGCAAGAGTGCCCCCTCTTCACTTTAATATCTATGCATAATTTGAAGACTGTGATAATGTCTCTTCTTTACTTTCTGTTTTTCAGCCTAAATATATTCTTTCTATGTTGTTTCCACCTGGTTTGCAGAATTGACACCTTCCTGGTCATTCTTTTCTGGGCACATTCTTAAGTTTCCAGAATACACTTGAGATGTGGAAGGCAGGAGGAGGGGGTGACAGGAATAGATGGTTGGATGGCATCACTGACTCCATGGACATGCATCTGAGCAAACTTTGGGAGATCATGAAAGACAGGGAAGCCTGGTGTGCTGCAGTCCATGAGGTTGCAAAGAGTCGGACGTGACTTGGCCACTGAACAACAATGACAAAGGAAGAAGCTTAATTATCCATTCTCAGTATGTTGGCAGTGTCTTCTTGATTGAGGTTTAAACAGATGTGTAGCCATGTCAAGCACATGGCTGGATGAGCACCTTCTTGGCAGAAAGCAGAATGACTTGGCTCCCTTTTCTTGCTTCTAATGGAGGATAGATGTGTTGGATGAAATTTTGTATGACATTTTCTTTTAGGATGGCCCCTAAAAGATTATGATGTATTTGTAATCTCTAGATCTTTGGTTTTACTAACAATTACTGGGAATTAAGAAGATGTAGACCTAAACTAAAGAAGTTAAAGAAACTTTTGATGGAAAATACCTATGAAGGACCTGACAGTGAAAAAGAAAAGGATTCCAGTCACTTAAAAGTAAGACTGTTATTTTCATTTTTTAAATTGGAATTTTAAAAATAGAGCTATAGTGACATTGTTTAATGGTGAAATTCTTTTTAAAGTTCATATTATGAAAATTTCACACATACCCCAAAGCAGAAAGACTGATAAGTTGACTCTGTTGACCATTTATCAATATTTTGTCAATCTCATTTCTTCTGTCCCTTACCACCTTCCACCATATTTGTACTAGAAGTTCAACAGATAGACTTTTTTTCTTTGTCATTGGCCTTATTGAGATCTGATTAATATACCAAGCAATTTGCTTATTTTAAAGTGTGTAATTCAACAGCTTTTAGTGCATTCACAGAGCTGTGTGATCATAAACTTGATGAAGCTTAGAATATTTTTTATCACCCCTCCAAGGAAACTCTACCCCTTAGCTGTTCCCTTAGTCCTGCCTTTCTCTCTCTCCCCTCAGCCCTGACCCCTCAGTCCCGCCTCTCTCTCTCTCTCCTCAGTCCTGACCCCTCAGTCCTGCCTCTCTCTCTCTCTCTCCTCAGCCCTGACCCCTGAGTCCTGCCTTTCTCTCTCTCTCGCCCCTCAGTCCTGCCTCTCTCTCTCTCGCCCCTCAGCCCTGACCCCTCAGCCCTGACCCCTTAGTCCTGCCTCTCTCTCTGTCTTTCTCTCTCTCTCCTCAGCCCTGACCCCTCAGTCCTGCCTTTCTCTCTCTCCCCTCAGCCCTGACCCCTTAGTCCTGCCTTTCTCTCTGTCTCTCTCTCTCTCTCCTCAGCCCTGACCCCTTAGTCCTGCCTTTCTCTCTGTCTCTCTCTCTCCCCTCAGCCCTGACCCCTCAGTCCTGCCTTTCTCTCTCTCTCTCCTCAGCCCTGACCCCTCAGTCCTGCCTCTCTCTCTCTCTCCTCAGCCCTGACCCCTCAGTCCCGCCTCTTTCTCTCCCTGCCCTCAGCCCTGACCCCTCAGTCCTGCCTTTCTCTCTCTCTCTCCTCAGCCCTGACCCCTCAGTCCTGCCTCTCTCTCTCTCTCCTCAGCCCTGACCCCTCAGTCCTGCCTTTCTCTCTCTCTCTCCCCTCAGCTCTGACCCCTCAGTCCTGCCTTTCTCTCTTTCTCTCTCTCTCTCTTTCTCTCTCTCTCTCTCTCTCTCTCCCCTCAGCCCTGACCTCTCAGTCCCACCTTTCTCTCTGTCTCCCCTCAGCCCTGACCCTCAGTCCTGCCTCTCTCTCTCCTCAGCCCTGACCTCTCAGTCCCACCTTTCTCTCTCTCTCTCTCCCCCCTCAGCCTTGACCCCTCAGTCCCGCCTTTCTCTCTCCCTGCCCTCAGCCCTGGCCCCTCAGTCCTGCCTCTCTCTCTCCTCAGCCCTGACCTCTCAGTCTCGCCTTTCTCTCTCTCTCTCTCTCCCCCCTCAGCCTTGACCTCTCAGTCCCGCCTTTGTCTCCTCTCTGTCTCCCACCTCAGCCCTAGGCAGCCAGTAATCTACATTCTGTCTCTTGATTTCCTTCTTCTGGGCATTTTGTATGAATAGAATCAGATAAGTGGCCTTTTCTGGCAGGCATCTTTAACCTAGCATGCTGTCTTCAAGGTTCATCCATTACTTTTCATTGCTGAGTAATACCCCGTCTTAGGGATATACCATATTTTATGCATCCATTCATCAGTTGATGAACATTTGGGTATTTCTGCTTTTTTATTGTTGTTGATTACTTGCTTATTAGGAGTAACACTGCTGTGAACATTCATGTTCAAGTGTCTAGTGAACCTATGTTTTAACTTTTCTTGGCTATGTATAGACACACACACTAAAGAGTGAAATTGATGGGTCCTGTGGTCACTCTCTATGGGCTTTATATAGAATGCTTATACAGAAATCCTTTGCCAATTGTCAGGTGGATTACTTTATTATTAAATTGTTGGAGAGTTTTTTATGTAATCTAAACACAAGCTCTTTTGACAGATAAAATTTGTAAATATTTTCTTCTATTTTATGAGTTGTTTCACTTTCTTGACTTTTTATAAAAAAATTGTGGTAAATGTACAGAGATTTTCATTTTGATGAAATCCACATAATGTGTTTACATTTTATTGCTTGTGTTTTCAGCATCATATCTAAAATGATCGCCACATTCAACATCACAAAGATTTGCTGTTTTCTTCTAAGACATTCTCTGATTTTGTCTAGTTATCATTACATATTAACTGAAGAAATTAAGCTATAAATATTGCCTTATCTGTCCTATGTATTTATTCCCTCAAAATTCAATGTTTGAAAAAAATTATTTGTCCTAAAATGCGTTTCTTGTTTGTTTGTTTGTTTGTTTCAGTATACGACTGAAGATTTGCTTGATCAAATTCAGGCAAGTGAGGAAGAAATAATGACCCAGTTACGAGTTCTCAATGCCTGTGAAATTGGAGGTAGCGTTACTTTCTGTTACCAACAGTGGTGGAGTTGGGTATAATACGAGAGGGGTTTTTTACATCTCCCTGTGTTTACTGCTGTTGCATACTGTTTATATAGTCCTCTTCTGGTCTCAGAGATGACGATATTTCTGTTCTGGGGTGTGGGGCAGAGACTCCATGTGATCACCTTTAACAAGGATGTCAGTCTCTGACCAGTGACTTTATTTGCTCCTTACAGGCCTTTTCCTTTGGACTAAGTGGTAATGGAAGAGCCACATTTGATCAGGAAAGGTCTTAGATATCAGGTAGTCTGTGCCCTTCATTGTCTTTACTAGGTGAGGAAACCAAGGCCTGGAAAGGGAAACAGACTGGTCCAGGGCTCCATGTCGAGATAGTGACAGGATGAGGCATCAAACCAGGTACTTGAACTCCTGGTTCAGAATAAACTCATTGTGTTTCCAAACTGCTTGGAAGATACATTTATTCTTGTGATCACTAACATGCTTTTGCGTAAGTGTGAAGCAGTTTATGCGATAGACCTGTGTGAAAGCAGCAGCAGCAAGAGATTGATGGAGTAGCCCAGCAGAACCTTCTGCGACGCTCTGACTTTCGTCCGGCCCGTAGGGGTGGAGCAGGAGCCCCCTCCTCCCCACCCCAGCCCTTCCCCTCCCCACCCCCCATGTTTGGGTCTGCATTCATACTTGAGGAGATGTTTGTGTGCTTTTCTCACCCCTCTCAAACTTGCCCAGCGAAGCAGCTTAATTCTGCACCCATGTGTTAGGAAGGAGGAAATTGGCTTTGTTTGGTGGATGCAGTTTTCAATTTACTCACAATCTTCCAAGCAAGATTAGCTTCTGTGGTCAATTCTGCTGAGTAAAACAGCTGCACATGACATTAGAACTAACTGGAAGCACTTAGTTCTTTGTTGCGGTTCCTTGAGTTTTTAATTGTGGATGCCTGCTTCTAATTACTATGGTATAGGGATACCATGAATATTAAGGTTAAGAATAGAAAAATGGAGTTAATGCAGCCCTCTGCATTTTTTGTTTATTGCATGGGAATGGATAGTATTTTGGTGTGTGCATGGGTTGGTGGGATGCATAGATTTTTTTCCTAGTTGTCTTTTTCAATTTTGCTTCGGAACAAGCACATTTCAAAGAAACAAAGCAAAACTTTGGAATTTTGCTTTTGTTAAAAATACCGTGTTTTAGCATGGAATGTTCCATGTTTATTCAGAATAAGAATAGGCGCACTCTCCCTTGGGAATGATGGGTGTGCACTTGATTTGTTTCTCCGGGGATCGTGGCAGTGTCTTCAGTCATAAGGTGGCATTTCATCAGCTTTCACAGGAATTGGGAAATATATTTGGCACCCAGCCTTTGTTCTGCTGCTGGTCCACTTCGTACCTGAGTCTGTTATCTCGTGAATGAGCTAGACTTCGTTAAAAATATATTTGATCTTCCATTTGGCTGCCTGGCGTCTCAGTTGTGCGGCATGTGGGTCTTCACTGCCTCTTAACGGGACCCTTCGCTGTGGTGCAGATTTTCCAGCTGTGCTCCTCGGGCTTCGGCAGTCGGCGCACACAGGCTCTCTCGTGGCGTGCAGGCTTAGCTGCTTCTCGGCATGCGGGATCTTAGTTCCCCGACCAGTGATCCAGCCCACATCCCCTGCATTGCACGGCATATTCCTGACAACTGGACCACCAGGGAAGTCCTTGAACTGGACTTCTTCATGAGCACGAGACCGCCTCTGCAAGGTGGCTGGCGGGAGGGTGTAACCGTGCCAGCGCCCTGCTGCCGAGGTCTCCGTGTGGAATACCCGGCCCGAGACCTGCAGCTCATCTGTGTGACCTTCTCAGAAAATGGCTGCACCAGCTGCCGGATTCCCCATTCATTTAGAACAAGATTATTAGGAGGTAATTGAAGATTAAAGCACTTGAAAAAAAAGTCAAAATGTTGGTCATGTGGGAAGTACCCTTTAAAAACCACCTGACCTCCCTTGACAGAGTTTGCAACGATTGGGAGAAAAGCCGGAACAGAAGCATTGTTTATTAAGAAAGCTAAGACTTACCATGTCTCTTTTTTGCAGTGGGCCAAGAGTATACTGCTACTGTATCAGTCTTATCAGTCAGTTCATTTGTTTAAATTAAATATGTTTAAGTTAAAATGAATGTTCTTTGGTAAATTTAACTTTGGGAATTTATAGGTTATTGGAGGATTCTTGAATTTGATTATGAGATGAAACTTCTGAATCATATAACTCAGCTTGTGGATTCCGAATCTTGGTCTTTTAGCAAAGTTCCTTTGAATACATGCCTTCAGGAACTTGGACCATTGGAGCCAGAGTAAGTATTTATTCCCCATCCTTCCAGATTTTCTTAAAGGGAAAGAAAATTATTATCCAGGGTAGGACTAAACCCAGGGCATAAACTCTTTATATATTAATACTGCATAGAAATCTAAAAAATGATACAACTAAAAAGGACTTGGGAATTTGGGTCACTGGAGTGAATAAATGTGTCACTTTTTTTCCTACCATTAAAAATATAAATAAATAATTATATATGTTATTTTATAATAAATGTATGCTCACATGATTTGTATAAAAATATTTAACATGGGGCCTGGCACATCATAGCTTTCCAGTATATTTTAGTTTTTATTTTTTTTTAAAGTTTCTTGGCTGTACCACCTAGTATGTTGGATCTTAGTTTCCTCACCAGGAATCAAACTTGTGCTCCAGGGAAGTCCCAGTATTTCAGATTTATATCTTAGTTTATAGTTAGCAGTAGCGTTTGAAAGTTAATGCATAAAATTGTGAAAACTTTTCAAATAAGTGTTTAAAATTTTTCAGGGAAATGATTGAACACTGTCTTAAATGTTATGGAAAGAAATACACAGAGGAAGGTGAGATTGGGAGAGTATTTTAATGGGTGTTTTAACTTGGTGTGTAAAACTTGGCGTACCTTTTGAAGTGTCTTCCTGTTAAAACTCAGATCTCCACGGGGGGCTGGGAGCTGAGTTGTGTGTGCTTCCTTCTGGGAATTTGCAACGAGGGAAAGGGGACGGTGGTACAGCTCAGAAGACAGTGTGACGCCGTCTGCTGCCCTGTCCTTAGGTGAAGTTTATTTTGAACTGAGTGCAGATAAGGTATGCAGAGCTACAGCGCAGATGCTACTTCAGAATGCAGTGAAATTCAATCTCGCCGAGTTTCACGAAGTGTGGCAACAGAGTGTTCCGGAAGGAATGACGACCAGGCCGGATCAGCTGAAGGTAGGGGCGACGCGACTCCCTCCACGACTCCGCAGGTTACGAGGTCAAAGGAAGGCTGTGTTGGAACCGAATATGGAGACAATTAATTTCCCTGCCTGAGGAGTGCACTCCACATTCAATCCATCACAAAAATCCTTTAAAAAAACAAAGCAAAAACCCCACAAACCCCACTTAATTGAAGTATAATTTACATATCACAGTCTGCCCGTTTGTAAAGGATTTGTAGTAGATTTAATGAGTTTCCAGCCACCACAGTCTAGTTTTAGAACATTTGTCACCTCAGTAAGATCTTTTGGGCTCATTTACAGTTAGGTTGATGCCTGGGCTTCCCTTGTGGCTCAGCTGGTAAAGAATCGGCCTGCAATGCGGGAGACCTGGGTTCAGTCCATGGGTCGGGAAGATCCCCTGGAGAAGGGAATGGCTACACACTCTGCGGTTCTGGCCTGAAGAATTCCGTGGACTGTATAGTCCATGGCGTCGCAGAGTCGGACACAACTGGAACCTTCACTTCCTAGGCTTCCTGGGATAGTGGAACTTAGAGCAGGTTTGGGCAGCAGGCACAATGAGTTCGTATATAAGTTCAGCTGAAGAGGTCTGGTGCTTGGACGAGGGATTTGAGGTGGAGTGCAAATATTACAGTCGTTAGCAAGTGAGTGAGTGGTGGATGGAGTCCCAGGAGAGTGCCAGTGAAACAGTTAGAGGGGTGGTCTAGGGGCCCAGGGAATTAAAACATCAGGTCAGGAGAAAAGGTATGAAATCGTGATGTAGGCTTAAAGAGGAAGAGGTGATCAATACTAATGAAGTAAAGGGGGCTAGTGAGAGGAATCCAATAAAGGGCCCATGGGCTTGGCAGTGACAGCTCACAGTGAGCTTTAGAACTAGAGCCTTTTCACTAGGCTGGTGGTGGTAAAAGCCAGATTCTAGAAGGGAAGGGAAGTGACTGCTCAGAGGTGCTCTCTTTATGAAAAAGGTAAGCTGCTCAGCTTCACGATGCTGAGGTTTTAAATACCTCGGGCTAAGCTCAACATAAGGTAAAAGAATGAGTCTTTTTTTTTTTTTTAACATTAGACCATTACTTGAACTCTCCTTTTTCTCATTTCTTACAGGGTTTGGCCTTGGTGGATAGACAGTCAAGACCGGAAATCATATTTCTGTTGAAAGCAGAAGACTTACCAGAGGGGGATCAGGAACGTTTCAATAGTCTGTTCTCTCTGAGAGAGAAGTGGACAGAAGAAGATATTGCTCCATATATTCAGTGAGTGCTTTATTACGAATGGATTTCGAGGACTGTTCTTTTTCTGACAGTAGCATAGGGCTTCAGTGTTGTTTTGTGTGCTTCCTTCCCAGCTTTCTCAAGTTCTGGCTGGCCCTCCTCTTCTCATTCTGCATGAGTACTGATGTGGCTGGCAGGGTGTGTGTCAGCTCTCTGCCTTTCTGCTGTGTCTAGAACCACTTCTCTGCTCTTCCTGCACACTGCAGCTCTCAGAGGGACAGTCTGCTGTGATCCCTCCTGTGACTGTAAGGCAAGCATTCCTCTCTAACGGCCACCTTCTTTCTTGCCTGCTGCCTTAGTTTAAAACATTTTGGGAAAAGTCAGAATTCATAAGAAGTTCACCCTGAAGTTACTGCTTGCCAGACTGACCCAAAATCCACTAACAAACCCTACCACTTCCTCACTGGGCCTCTTGGGGCCTCTCTCTGCTCTTTACCCAGCCTCAGTTTCCTTATATCTAACATGGGGTTAGATAATACATGACTCATACTCTTACCATGAAGGTTGTCGATAATATATACGTGTAATATATCTAGTTCAGTTATGGCTTAGTAACCTCTCTTTACACCTATCTCTCCCACAAATACATACCCTTATGTTTGTTGGAAAGGTGGACTTAGGGGAGAAAGATATAAAGAACTAGTGCTGTGAATATCATGTTATGTTCCCTAGACTATTTGTGATGTTCATTTTTTTGGTTTTATTTTGTTCATTAATTTTTTTATCGTTCCCACAGAGATTTGTGTGGAGAGAAGCTAACCATTGGTGCACTACTCACAAAATATGCTCGATCTTCAATGCAAAATGGTGTCAAAGTTTATAACTCAAGAAGACCCATTTCTTAAAAAGAACAAGTTTTTTCTTTGGGACTAAAGTTGCTGGATATAAGAAAGTGTTTTTTTATGTATTTGTATAGCAGACTTTGAAAAACCTAATGCTTTGAGGCCTTTTCGACTCATCTTAAGTATTTTAAAACTACTGCTCTATTTTCTTAAAGGTGATAGGATATTTTGTCTTTCAGGATATATTTGTTTCATGTACACAGTGTAAACAAGGACAAAAGTGTTACTTTCTACATTTAGTATATCTTGGCAGTCTATATGAGTTCATTTATAGAGTAACAGGTTTGGTTTTTTATATTGAAAATTGCATTTCTTTAATTAGGAATTGACATTCTAGTGATTAATAAATTTGAAAGTTTTCAGAGAACTAAATACGAATAATTTCCTAGAAGAGAATTATTTACTTAAATACCATTTCCCAAGTGAGTTCCCCTCTACTTTTGACCTTCCACCAAATCAGGAAATCACATGCTGCTATCAGTTACTTAAGGTAGTTGTTTGTATTGATGCTCATGGCTCCTGTTCCCCTGGCTGCTGTAGATATGACCTCAGAAAGACAACAGTGAGTGGTCCTGAGAGAGATCTTGGTTCCCTGCCCCGGAATCAAATCTGGGTAGCCTGAATAAGAAACTGAGAATCCAAGCTGCTAGTCCACCAGGGGCTAGAAAGTGAAATTGAAAGTGTTAGTCGTTTAGTCGTATCCGACTCTTCGAACCCATGGACTGTAGCCCCTCCAGGCTCCTCAGTCCATGGGATTCTCCAGGCAAGAACACTGGAGTGGGTTGCCATTTCCTTCTCCAGGGGATCTTCCCAACCCAGGGATTGAACTCAGGTCTCTGGCATTGCAAGTGGATTCTTCACTGTTTGAGCCATGGGAAGCACCAGGGGCTAGAGGCAAGAAGTAAAGTTCCCCTGGCTGTCACCTCCTTTGAAAACAAAAATGTTTTGAGGAGGCAAAAACTAAATACAGGTACAAAGTTTACTTTCAGAGATAACAGCATAACAAGCAGGGGAGCACAGAGACAGTTTAAGACAGAGTAAGGCAGAAATACACACAGAAAGAAAGGCTGTGGCCGTCCTCCCTAACGGGCAGGAGCACCGTAAAGGTGCCTTCAGTCACTTCTCTGGGTCAGTTCTTCCTGGTCTTTGTTTTCCTTTGGCCCATCTTCTTCTTTCCCCTCATCTGATGTGTTCTCCGGAGATGAGGTGCTCTAAGGTCCAAGCGCAACTTTTCGCTAAAGATGGATTGCGCCAGAGACGAGTGGAGTCTCGGTGCCCTGCCTCCCGTTTTTGCCTCCGAGGGCCTCTCTGCAGCTGTGCAGTCAGGCGGTTTCCGTGGCCTCGGGAATGGCCGTCTTACCTCAGTTCCAGCAGAGTGCGGCTTCTGCAGCTAGCTCTGCCCTTGGAGTGCGGGGAAGACAAAGCTTCAGTTTCTACACTTGACAGACGCCGGCTGCCCAGCCAGGGGCCTGTCTACCTCCTACCTCAGATACGCTCTTGGGGATGCAAGTCTGTGTACTACTTCACTGCTTATTTGCCTCCCATTCTTTCCTTAACCCAGTGACCTCTTTTTAACCCAGTTGCATCTATCTTGATAAATATTCTCCATCTTCCATGCAAAATGGTATTAAAAAGGTTGTAATTCAAGAAGACCCTTTCAATACTAATCCCCTGTGAAGAATACTAACAATAGTTTATAATCCTATAATGAAGGATACTGACACAGGTAATACTCAAAAACTACAAGTAATTTCTGGTTTTGGAATGCTTGATAAAGTTATTTTACATCTTTATTTTCCTAGTGTGTTTTTCTTTAGACCAAAGTTCAAATTAATTTTAGCTAATGAACTTGTCATCAGGATAGTTTGAAGGGTTAAACCTGGTCCAAAGTTAAAAAAAAAAAAGTTAATGGGTAATCCACAATTAACAAAGATTTAACTGTCACTGGAATTTACAACCGTTTTATTCTCATGCACATGAAATGCAGATGACTCAAAATAGTCCGGTGTTTCAATAATTCTACATCTGTATAATCCACTTATTTAATTAATTTTCCAATAAATACCTAGGCAGCAATGCCTAGTGAGGACTCGAGCTCGAGTTAGACTCCTTGAGGTGTAATCTCGTCTTTTCCAGCCTAAGTCACAGCTCCGGTGAGTTAAGGGTTCTTTTTACACAGCAGGAGGGACGCCTCCTGGTTTCCTACGTCCCGGCCCCTGGCACTTTGAAAACCTCGTCCCCGTGCTTTTCAGTCTTTGCGATACATCTTTATTCCTCTAAAATTTAATGTTTCGCCTTTCCGTCCTGCTGTGCTCGCGTCATCCACAAAATATCTGTCAAATTTCCTCAGCTTCAACGGTTCTCAGCCGCCGTCTGCCCATTAAAAAGCAAACGCAAAGCCCGCTGCTCGCCAAGCCCCGCCCACGGCCAACAAGACTTCCGGCTGCCGCCTCAGTGCTGCCCTACTTCCGCTGACGTCAGGGGGTCAGAGGTGACGAAAAAGATGTCGGCTGGCGGGCGCCACTGGACGCTGCTGTGGGGAGCGTCTCCGTGACAGGCGCTCGGCGGAGACGACGGACTAGCCGAGTCCCCCGAGCGAGTGTGAAGGGCTGCCGCGGCGAATCGGGCAGGGCCGGGCGTGGAGCCGAGGGCACCCCCACTGGGGCGTGACTGTTGGGAGCGTGCAGGAACGGCGAGCGTCGGGTGCCCAAGGCCGGTGATGCCCCGCCGCCGCCCGGAGGCCGGGAAGCCGAGCTCCGCCGGGCCCCTTCATGCCGCCGACTGGCTCTGACCCCGCCAGAATGAACAGGAAGAAAGGAGACAAGGGCTTTGAAAGCCCAAGGCCGTATAAATTATAAGTATTTTTGTCTGCATCTCCCTTTCTTCTGGGGCTTTCTGGGTGGCTCAGACGGTTAAGAATCCGCCTGCAATGCGGGAGACCTGGCTTCGATCCCTGGGTCGGGAACATGCCCTGGAGGAGGGGAGGGCTACCCACTCCAGTATTCTTGTCTGGAGCATCTCTTGGACAGAGGAGCGTGGCGGGCTACAGTCCATGGGGTCACAGAATGGACACGGCTGAGCGACTAACACTTCTCCTAGGTTTGGTTTTCATTAGTTAAAATTAATTAGTTTCAGTGATCGCTTGAAACTGACTTAGTGGGCCTGGAAAGCCTAGTGGGAAACTGGAAGCTGCCCACAGTTTTGTAGGGCGAAAATGTTTTGAATGACAAGGTAATTTCAGCAGATTTACTGCCCCTTGCAGTTTAACGTATCTTTTTCTTAAATTGCATTTTTGTCCAAAAAAATTTATTTTTGTGGCTGTTGCTGAATTTTAAATGAACAAGTTACCCTAATTTCTAGGGTTTTAACATGAAAAATAAGTATGATTTTGAGCTGCTTAGAACACAGTTCTTGTTTACACTGGGATTGAATTATGCATTGTTTAATAACTGAATTATTTTCTTTATTCTTTAATGTACAACCCATCAGGTCGTCTGCATCAACAACATAAACTTCCAGAGAAAATCTGTTGTGGTAAGTATATTCTTAGCAATTATAAGCAATAACAACACCATGGTTTACATTACGTAGAAACTTTCCGCTCCAGGTCATGGGTTTTGAGAATAGATATGAATTAGAATTCAAACGTGTATGACTTCAAGAGCCATGGCCTGCTACTATACTGGCCAACACCTCAATTCTCCCTTTCCTTTTTTCCTGTTTTCTGGTTAAAATTTATTTCTTTGAATATGTTGTGGAATATGAAAGTCTACATTACCAAACATTTTAGAATTGTGTATGAAACAAGAATAAATCCACAGTGAGATTTTTTTATGTGAAAAAATTAAGGTTGACACACACACTAACTTGATTGTTCAGAGGCTGCTTTTGTTATTTGATTTTTGCCGGACCTTGTTTCCCTGGCATTGCTTTGTAGTAAAGTTCTATGTAAAGGTGTTTGAAACCTAGTAATTGCCCTCCCCCCAATTTAGATGTATAGATTGTTATATCCATATGGATTGATGTACATGCATATATATATCCATATATGATCTATATCCAAATACCCATATGGATTGATATATCCATTCTAGGAACCCCGTTGATAGCCTAAGACCCAGGGTTATGAATCTGCAGAGCTCCTGTTTCTTCTATTTTCCGTCTCCTCTTTGTGCCTCTCGTTTGACCACCCTGACCAGCAGCTGGAAGGCTAGTGCCCAGTTAATGCATCTTCTTGGATACAGAGTAGGGTAGGGGGCAGATTAGGAAGGGCAAAAGGAAGATATCTACAACAGTCTAATCCCTTTTGCCTCCAGATCATCCTCTCAACACTTCTGTTTAGATGACAGTGTTCCCAGCTTAAGGAAGTCCCATCAGCTATTGTAGCATTAGTTACGTGTGGCATTAGCTAACTACTTGTTTTTGTAAGTAAAGTTTTATTTGAACACAGCTACACCCATTTATTTATAAACTGTCTAAAGCTGCTTTAGAGCTACAATGGCAAAGTGGAATAGCTGTGAAACTGTGAGGCCTGTAATATCTGTTTAGTCTCTGGCCCTTTAAGAAAAAGTTTGCTGATCCCTGAAATAATCCATTTGTGTGAAGAAATGGCAGTTTCAGCATTTTTCCCACCTGAAATATTAGCTATTGCCTGTAGTAGAAGAAATGTGGGTAAAAGAATGTGAAAATTAGTTACTATAGCCTTTGCTTTCTTCGGTTGATATCAAGGTCAAAGTTTATGTACATAACTTTCTTATTCTTCCACCTATTCCTTTTTTCTCTTTCTTGACAGCATTTCTTTTGGTCTGTCGTAGACCTTCATTTTGCATCCTTGCTGGTTTCGACGTCATTGGGGTTGTTGCGGTTTTCCATTGATTAGGACTGTTTGTCAGGAGGACCTCAGAGGCCTTCCATTGAACTCCCTGAACTGCAAATGGAGTGCTTGCTTCTGTTGTGTAACAGAATCTCAGTTGCTGCTAGTCTCTCAGCCGGGACAGTGACCCCTTACTGTGCCTGTTGGTTCAATGGCATGAGGAGCCTGAAGTGGCTTAGTCTCAGCTTCCAATTTAATAAAGCCGTGGCTCTGTGCCCTGGTGGATGCGTTCCTCCTTTGGCCACTAGGCTTCTGAACGCCCCAAACCTGAGGGCTTCAAGACAGGAAGCAAAATTCTTTCAGTGGCTTTTTGAAGCAGTAGGGAACATAGCCACTCCAGCTTTTGCCCCTTGGCTCCCAGGTCTGTTTGGCTATGGAGAGGTGACCTGATGTTATAATGTCATTCACTGGTTTAGGGTGGCCTCCTCTTGGAGGTCTCGGTTGTGCTGTAGCTGAGCCTTCTTTAGTTGATCATGTTGGTCACTTCTGGATGAGAGGACAAAATTAATTTTGCATGTAAAATTTGTGTGTAAATTCTGCCACACTTTTCTCTACACCTGGAAGTGTGTGTGGGATAGTATGTTGACACGGATGTACATTGTATTAACAGGGAAGGAATATCTGGACTGTGTGTGTGTTTTTGTAAGGGTGAATTCCTGTCTCCCCTCTGCGGTACCAGCTGTCTAATGGAGTCATTTTACTGCTGAGTGACTAGCTCACCCTTCCTGGGAGGACCCCTTGTTAGAAGCTTTGATCCTCTGCTGGGGGCAGTGGGCGCTCAGCATGGATGATGGCCAGATCAGGCTTTGCTGAGGGCAGAGCACGGTGTTGGGTTCGTGTGTAGCCTCCATTCTTGCCACCGTGACCACTTTGTGTATTAGCAGGGTGGGGGAAAGAGTCTGGGCACATCTGCTGGATAGATGATCTTGCCAGTTGATTTTGGAGGGCCCCCTCTGCAGTCTCTGAGGATGCTTCTGTTAGTCATTTACGTGATAACATTTTCATATTATACCTACTCTGAGAAATTCATGTGTACACTTTTCCCATCACCCTCTTATTTTCAGTCTTTTAGTCTTGTTCTTTACACATTCCTAACCAGCTGGCCAACCTAGCAACTGCCCCCGGATCAGTGCAGAAGTGTCTTGGGTCATTCCTATGTCTGTAGACGCTCTACCACCTGTTCTGTTTGGGCATCCAGCCCACAGGAGGGTTTTCTTCCACTGTGTTTCAGGACTACACTTCAGTGAGTTCTGATGGCAGCTGCCATCCAGGTTCAACTGTGCTAGCATGCTGTACAGACTTATTCATAATTGAGGCTTGTGCTTTGTACTATTGTTAAACTTGGGGAGCTCTCCATGAGGTCCTGGGTGTGGATTGAAGGGGGGAGTGGAGATTGGATGGGAGCAGGTCTCTTTGGGCTCTGAGTCAGTGGTCACGCTGTTTGCTTTTTGTGCCTTGGGAGCCTGCTGGGCCTGGTCTGGGGGTGTCGCTTCCGTTAAAAGGTGGAAGCTGCACGCACTCAGTTCGTGATGGCCATTCCAGGTTAACAGAAACTCCCTGAAACTGTTGGAAGCCCCATGGTCGTGTGTTCGGTCTCTCCTGCAGGGTCTAGTAGCAAAGCAGTAGTTGCTTTGCACATAGAAAATAGTTGGCGGAAGAGGTCACGGGTTTCCTCTGAAACCCCGGATGGCAGTGCAGTGTCATCCTGGTGGAGGAAGCCAGGGTCAGTGCAGCATCCCTGTCTGCCGGCACGGCCCTGTGCTCCTGGCTCTGCTGAGCCACCGGTACCTTAGAAACTCTGCTGATGTGGCAGTCCCCTGAGTGTCCATGAGATTNGCTGCAGTGTCATCCTGGTGGAGGAAGCCAGGGTCAGTGCAGCATCCCTGTCTGCCGGCACGGCCCTGTGCTCCTGGCTCTGCTGAGCCACCGGTACCTTAGAAACTCTGCTGATGTGGCAGTCCCCTGAGTGTCCATGAGATTTGACTCAGCCTCTGCCATCCATGGGTTTTCTAGTAAGGTGTTATTGAGAACTTGCCTTTCCTTCCTCACCAGGTCCAGATGGTGTAGTGTTGTCAGTATAACATACGAGTGTAATTCCGTTTGGGCTATCCCGCAGTCAGGAGACTTTTGAACTTTGTTTTGACTGAACAGAGAGTTGATAGAGTTATTAGTTACTAGATGATAGTGATGGGGTTCTTATGTCTAGAAGACAACCTGCTTCTGTTTTTTTTCCCTGATGGGAATTGAGGGGGAAAAAATTGCTTGATAATTCACGGCAGTATTTGCTACCAGGAGCTGTGCTGGTTTGCTGATGTCATAGTGTCACTTCTGTGGTTGTGGTTGGCAAGTTTGTGATAGTTCACGATCATTCTGCAAGACCCACTTGGCTTTTGCACTGGCCAAATAGCTGAGTTAAACGAAGGTGGAGTAGGCATCGTCCGCGTCTCTGGGGGCGCTGATCTCTGCCATTCCCCAGAGGTGTTGGGTTGTGTTGATTTACTCTTGGAGAAGGGGGAAAGGTGGCCTGTTGGTGTCCTCTCAGTCCTTCCTCAGTAGACCTCACTCAGCGAGATCAGAGAATGACTGTAAGGGTTTGCCAGTTACTAAAACATATCCTGTATGTTTGGACTGGGTAATAAACACCAGGCCTACACTGAGATAGATGTGGGAACCCCTTAAACCCCTTTATTACTTGACCTCCAGAGGTCACCAGTCTGGGGAATTCCCTAGCAGTTCAGTGGTTAGGACTGCATTGTCGCTGCCAAGGGCCCAGGTTCAATCCCTGGTCAGGGAACTAAGATACATAAGCTGCACTGCCTGGCAAAAGCAATCCCCCTCTGCACCGTCCCCCCCAAGACACACACACGCACACCCCGACTTCTAATCTCCAATCTCCCCAGTGGACTGTTGTAATGTTCTGGGACTCCAGGGACTAGTGTCAGTTCTGAACCAAAATATAGTAACTCAAGGAAAAGGGCAAACAATAATTTATTTGAGGTGACACAGAAGTTAAGACTTAACAGAAAGATAAGCGAGAGTTGCAGATGTCTGTGAGCGTGGGGAAAGGTCCTGTGAGAGGAGAGGTGGTGTTGTAAGAGGAGGCGATCAATAGACTGTGATTTCTGAGAGCGCTGCAGAGGGTGCCTCTGGCAGAGGGGTGGAGGGGACGTCTCACGACAGGAGGAGGAGGGAGGCACGCGCAGCGGGAGGGCCAGAGCTGGTGGTGACAGGAGAGTGGCTCAGGGTGAGGGTCTTAGACGGGCAGGGGAGACAGGAGCCCTGAGGACAGCGGGGAGGGCTGTGGAGAGAAACTGGAGCAGGCCAGGAGCGGGGGCGTGCCGTGTGGTCGAGTGGGAGGTCTGGAAGGGAAGCACCGGCTTCCGGACATCGAGGTGTAAAACGTCGGCGTCGGGGCGGCGCTGAGCACTGATGGAATGTCTCTCGGGGTGCAGTCGTGATTGCTGTCCTGGAACGGCTGTGAAGATGGTAGGAACTGAAATGCAGGAACTTACCGCCCGGATCAGCTGGGTCCATGTTCATGTCCCAGCGTGATGGGTTAGAAAGGGAAAGTAGGAACTTTCAACACATTTTGGGGAATTTGGGAGTTATTAATGAAAGGAACAGAGGATGCTGTTCTGTGTGGCATGAACGCATAGGAAAGGAAGTGGAATCTAAGAATAACAAAAACTTTTACTGGATACCAGCTATGATTTTAAGTGCTTTCCTTGTTTTAAGTTGCTCAGTTACAATAACACCAAAAGGTAGGGAGCGTTGCTGTTCTTGCTTTGCAGATGAGGAAACTGAGGTACGGGCTTCCCAGGTAGCTCAATAGTACAGAATCCTCCTGTCAATGCAGGAGACAAAAGAGCAGGATTGAGACACAGGCTCAGTCCCTGGGTCAGGAAGGTCCCGTGTAGTAGGACGTGGCGACCCACTGCAGTATTCTTGCCTGGAAAATTCCATGGACAGACGAGCCTGGCAGGCTGTATAGTCCATGGGGTTGCAGAATCGGACATGACTGACTACATCACCAATACCACCGCCACAACCCGAGGTATAGAGAGCTAGAGTAACTTAGCACAAGCTCATACACCTACTGAGAAGTTGAGCTGGGACCTCAAGAACACGAGGACACTGTTCTGCCCTTGCTCTCACAGCCTGTGCTGTGCAAAAGCCTGAAAAAAGTCTAGAAAGAGTGGAAAGAGGGTGGTTTCCTGTTTTCCCCTCCTCTAATTTATACTGAATAAAAGAATGTAGAGCTTCTTTTCAGAGGGGAATCAAGAGATGTTTCATCTGAGCCTGGGAAGTAAAGGAGCTTTAAAAAAGGTTGACTAGCAGAGGGACTCTAGGAGGGACTCTAGGAGCACGGTCAGGGTCAGGTGCTGGGGCGGGAGCAGGAGCAGGAAGAGGGAGCAGTTAGGAGCCCTGGGGGCTGCGTCCTGCTCCAGCTGTGGCTGACGTGCTGGATCTGTGGTTGGAGGCAAGTCGGTGGGTCTGCGCCTGGCAGGCAGGTGTAGGTTAGGGCTCTCGGTGGTGTCAGAGACCTGATGGTTCAAGGAGGCTGGGCTTTCCCTGTTGTGATACAGTATATTGCATTCACTGTTTTATTACTGTTGCCCTTAGTTTAGAAAGCCGAAGCTTATTCTTCTGCTCATGTAACTACTTCTTGACAGCAGTTTCCATAATCTTTTCTGGTTCACTTTTGATGTTATCTTAGTTTTGCTTAGTCTTTCGGCTAATCCAGGATCATCCATGTCGATTGGTCATTGGATTGCTGATGTGCTAGTTAAGGGACTTTAGATCTTCCTACAATTGCTCACAGTTTAACACCTTTCAACTCAGACTTCATCAAATGTTTTGCTTCTGCTTTTTTTGTTCTTATCTGCTTCCAGGCAAATAGATCTGTTCAGATGGTCTAATTTAAAGATGTTTGACTCTGTTATTTGTCAGTTGGGGAGAAGGGGGATCTAGATGGGCTTTTGAGAGGTTGGGCTGAATGTTATCTAAAAAAAAGAAATTCTTAGATATTATTGAAAAGCATTGCACTGCGAGACATTGTGGCATAGTGGGGATCAGTTGTGATCATGTAGATGTGGGTTTGACTCAGTTCTCCGCTTAGTAATGATTTGATTTTCTTAATTCTTAATCTGTATAAAGTAATACTTATCTCTTGAAGTTGTTAATGGGATTAAAATATACAAAAGTATTTAGTGTAATGTGTAAGATATAGTAGTGCTTAATAATAGCCCTTAAAATTGTTGTAATGTTGTTCTCTATGGTTATTGTCTGAGTTTTATTTTAGATATTCCTGTTTCAACCCTTGAAATGTTACTGTTTCATGCCCTCCCATATTTTGTGTTTTCAACCCAGAATATTAAACTTGCTGGACATACGTTCCATGTTTCACTGATCTGTCTTTCCGATTTGATTCAGAGCAAGAGGGTAGTGGACAGTGGATGTAACTGTCTCGTGTCTTTGGTCCATGCTTCAGATAGCTTGCTCGCCACCAGGCTTAGGTACGGCCTTTGGGACTGCTTGGTAGAAAATCAGCCAGCACTTAGATGTGTCTGCTGCTCTTGGAGGCTGCATTGGATTTTTCCCTCCTCGCCTGAGTGTTTCTTGTAACTCTTGCTACTTCATGTGTCCTGATTTACCTCCCATGAGCAGAGGTGCATACTGGTTAGCTTTGATGGTATAGTGTTTACTCTGTTTTGAGGGACAGTTTTCTTTCTTTTTTTAGTAACACATTTGTTTATCTTTGGCGCGTCTGGTCTTAGATGGGGCACACGGGATCTGTCTTTGTGGTGCTGGGGCTCCTTGCTGTGATTCGGGGGCTCCAGAGTGTGTGGGGTCAGTCATTGGAGCTCTCGGACCTTGTTGTCCTGTGGCGTGTGGGATCTTAGTTCCCTGGCCAGGGACTGAGCCTGAGTCCCCTGCAGTGGGAGGTGGATTCTTAACCTCTGCACCACCAGGGAGGTCCCCAGGGGCAGTTTTCTTTTACTCCCTGAACTGGTTTTGAATCTCTTTTTGCTCTTGGATTTTTTTCTCCTGCCTCCCTGTTTGGGTTCCAGTCTGTCTATAAATTCTTATATTTGAGAATTTCATATATAAAATTTTTATATTTGAGGCATTTTACTTTTTTTTCTAGCATCTGGTTTAATTTTCACTGATAGTGAATGTGAAACACCAGAATGATAAAGTGTACAGAATTCATACCTTTTAGTCACTCGGCCAACCATCCTTGAGGTGAAGTTACCTGGGGAGCACTTGTATGTGTGTGGCTATTTGAGATTCTGTTTCTGGAGTGTAGTGTGTGTACAAGTAGTAGAAATCAAAGAAATACGTTGTAAAGTATACCAGTATTAATCATAATGAAGTTATTATTCCTTATCTTTACAGGGCTTTGTGGAACTGACTATATTTCCCACAGTTGCAAACTTAAATAGAATCAAGTTGAACAGCAAACAGTGTAGAATATACCGAGTGAGGATCAATGATTTAGAAGCTGCCTTTATTTATAATGATCCAACCCTGGAAGTTTGTCACAGTGAATCGAAACAGTAAGTTACACACTTGTAAAAGTTGATATTTCTTAATTTTTTTATTTTCTGTAATTGTATAACTTCTGTTGCTTCTGCCACTTTGCCCATTTGATTCAGGAAATTTTACTGGCTCTGGTCAAACATAGTAAGTCATTAAGTTTCCTTTATCAGAGAACTTTAAGTAAAAATTTTTTAGCCAGTTTTCGACTTTTGTTTTTTAAAAAATAATTTGTTTCAAAGATATTAATATGATCTTCAGTGAATTAGGGGATACTGTAATCTGTACAGCAGAAACTACTTTATTCTATGAAATACTTGACAGCTTTATAAAATATAAAAATAGTCTGAAATACCTTATTCCTTCACTTTAAATACTGCATCTGTCTAGGCTACTTCTGATTTTATCAATAAACACGTATTTTTAATGATCAACTTTATGTTCTACATTTTTCATTTAAATACTTTGTTTTCACTTTGTTATTATTTTTATGGTCAGGCAATATTCCATTTACTCAGTATACTGTAGATTGTCTGATTATTTTCTAGATTTTTTTTTTCTTTTACTTTGAATTATTTCCTTAGGAAAATAGGATTGCTTATTATTCTTATGGCTCTTTTTAACATTTTACTTGATTGTGCCCCAGTAACATTTGTGCTGATTTAAATACTGTCAAGTACATTTGAGGGCAGTTGTTTTTTCAAAGTTTTGATAGCATGCATTGATAGCATTGCATTATATCGTCTCTTTGATTCTCAGTATTTGGGGATAGAGTGCCCTAAACTATAAACTCTTTTCTTGTTTTTTTAGTCACAATGCTATTTTAACCAGTCTAGAGGTGTTGAGCATCGTGTGTTAGGTTTCTCTACACCTTGTACGGTGTTGCACAGCTTCCCCAAACCCACTGTCCCGTGTGATACTCGTCGCCCCTTGTGAAGTGGAAAGGCCTCATTGTATCCTTCTAACTGACCAGCTAGGAGCCTGAGCTTCATCCTGTGCTTTCCCCATCATGACGTCAGTTACAGTCTGTGCCAGTTACTAGTTTAATTGTCTGAATTCACTGCTTTCCAGGGAGCTCCATGAGAATAAGGCTCAGACTTCAGACCTGCCTTGTGCATTGCTGTTTCCTCAGAGGCTGGCACATCACCTGGCATTCAGCAGGGATTTGTATGAGTGAAGGAATGAATGAATTGCCCCAGGGATGCAGACCAAGGTCCCAGGTCGCCTGCCCTCCCATCTAACCAGGGTTCTTAAAGAACGTTAGGACGCGGAGAGCACCGGAGGTCACTGAAGCAGGCCCCTCCCGGGAGCTGCTCTCTGCACCATCTCCACAGGAAGCGCGGGCTCCTGCAGTTGACGTACCGGGCTCTGTTTTGGGTGTACAGCAGGGTGAGTCTGTCACACAGGTGTCCAGTCTTTGAGCTGCTTTCCCCGTGGAGGCTGTGACAGAGTAGAGTTTAGGTCTCTGATGACAGGGTAGGAAGCTTCTCCATCTGCTGGTCACAAAACACAGCATCTGCACAGCCACCTTACCAGTTGTTCCAGGTGCTCCGGTTTCAAGGAAGGAAATCTGACAGTGCAGTGACAGGAACACTGGACTCCAGATCTGTTGAGGAAGCAAGCTTTACTTGGTTAATTTTGAGGTGATGATATCCCCTAAAGCTTTTCTCCAGTGATAGGGAATATGCCTCATCACCTTTAGTATTATAAAGAAAGAAAAGGGAGTCATAGAGGAGAGTGTTTTCGAAGGTTAAGTTGGGAAAGTGGAAAGGATGGAATATATTTAAACTTGTCTTTTCAGTAGCACCACCATGTTTTAGCCATGGTCACTTAATAAGTACTCAGGACAACCCCTGCTTTTCTGCCTGGCTCTAGAATCCTGTTTACTTTTTAAGAGAGATGCCAGTTGTTTTTGTTGGTGTTTGTTTATTGTCTGACTTGTTCGTAAGAGGGTTTGAGATTGGTTTTAGGATTTTATTGGACAATAGTTTTTTAAAGTAGCTAATGAAATTAGCATCAAGAGTGAAAAAAGTGTAGGATGGTGTGTATCACACTAAGTTACTAGAGGAAAACTGTAGGTTTGGTTTTGAGATTTCTGGTTACCATATGAAAGAGGGAAATGCTATTGTTTGTAAGATTCCTAAAACACAAGACAGAAGCATACCAATGGTTCAGAAGAAATACTGTTTAGCAGTTAAGATGTGAAAATGATCTCTGTGATGATGATATTTATTTTTAAAGAAGACTTTGTTCACAGGTAGTTAAGGTGTGAAAATGATCTCTTGTCATGATGTTGTTTATCTTTACAGAAGACTTTGGGAAGGATAGGTAGTTAAAATCTTTAGCATGTCCCTAGATACTTACACCACCTTTCTTGTTTCCAGAGTAACTCTCATTGTTGAATGAAGCAATAAAATTTCTACTAAAGCTGAAGCAGAAATGAAATAGTAGATTTGAAATTGAAAATTAAACTTAAAATTCGGTTAAATTTGATCTTGGGTACATACTGGAATGTCCTAACACTCAAAGAAGTAATATGCTACTTCATCACATTTTCTTCTTATTTGTTTTACAGTTAAGGTGCCAGACCCTCCTATTTTTAATGGCAAGAGTATGCTTACCTCGGTTGAGATTTAGCACCTTTGAACTGCAGGGTGAATATAAGGGAGGGAAACATTTAGACAAGAGATTCAAAGGCATTTCTTCCTATTTTACCCAAGTGAACATTAGCTGACTTGTTAACTTACCTGCCCTGGCAATTAGAAACCCTGTTGGTTATGTAACATATGTAAGACTTCTCCCTCTCTGTCTGTCTCTGGCTTATTGTCTGCCAGGAAAATAAGCACTTGAAGTTTCTCCAAACATATTTTATATTTAAATCTTACATTGTAGATGTAGTTTGCTTCCGTAGATGCTATGTCTCCTTGGTGGCGTTTTCTTTGTTTTTGTTTGCTACATTTCTTCTTAGAAAAGGGAAATGTAGGTTATTACCAGAGATTGTTTCTGTGCATGAGTAGCGTACAGTGGCTGATGTGTCTCCTCCCTGTTTCTTTCCCTTCCATAGGTAGGGTTTGCTACCTTGAGAAAAGTTTTTTTATTTTACTTGAAAATTCTCCACTTTCCTAAGTTTCAGGAGTCAATTTAGTTCCTGCCTCCTGTCTTCATTTCCACTGAGGAGTGGCAGTAGAAATAAAGCTAACTTAAGATAGAAATGAAGTAACTATTGAGTGATGGGAGCAGTTTTTAAAGTGATTAGAATTGATTTTTTAATTCCTTTTTTTAGATTTTCTAAGTCCTGTATATATTTTTTCAGTCCTGTACTTTAATATAGACATCTGTGTAGAGAGATTTTAAATGTTACTGTTTTACTGATATCATATGGTAGAAGTGGTTGATTCCTTTATTTATGGTTAGATAATATGGATTGTTTTATATTTTAACTCATCCACAATGCCTCACATGCAGTTGTTTTAGGAGTATTGCTTGGCATTAAGTTGTCATAATGGAGAGAACTTTGGGGTTTGTTTAGTCAAAACTTCAAGAGGAATTTTTCCCTATATTGTTCCGCCTTCTGTTGAGCTCACTGTTTTTTAAAGCACCCTTTTCATTACTTCTGAATGTTAGAAAGTTGTTTATTACATTGAGTTAGTCTGTTTTGCTATAATGTTCAGAAACTTATCCTAATTAAAAATTGTTTTCCTGTAAGTTTTCTCTTTTCCAGTCTGTCGCATCTCAGTACTCCGTCATTCCTCTTGGAAAACTGTTTCCAGATTTGCTAACAGTTCCCTCTGCTGCTCTCTGAATACTCTGGTTTGACGTTGTGTTTTCTCACATGTGATAACCCTGTGACTAAACAGGGAGCTTCTCATTTGGACTTCCTGTAATCACACGCGCAGCAGGAGAGCCGTTGTGTTCTTATCTGTACTCAGCGTTTCTGGTGACCTGACACTCATCAGCCTTCTCAAAGTGGTGTCGTTCCCTTGCTAAGAAGTGTCCAACTCTTTTCAACCTCGGGGACTCCAGGCTTCTCCATGCTCTACTCTTTCCTGGAGTTTGCTCAAATTCGTGTCCATTGAATTGGCGATGCTATCTACCCATCTCATTCTCTGCCGCCACCTTCTCCTTTTGCCTTTAGCCTTCCCAAGCATCAGTATCTTTTCCAGTGAGTCACTTCTTCGAGTCAGGTGGCCAAAGTATTGGAACTTTAGCTTCAGCAAGAGTCCTTCCGATGAATATTCAGGGTTGATTTCCTTTAGGAGTGATATATTTGCTCTCCTTGCAGTCCAAGGGAATCAAGAGTCTTCTTCAGCACCTCAGTTCGAAAGCATCAATCCTTCGGCATTCATCCTTCTGTGTGGATCACTCTCACGTTTGTACGTGACTACTGGAAAAGCCATAGCTTCGACTTGATAGCCCTTTGTCAGCTAAGTGATGTCTCTGCTGTTTAACGCGCTGTCTAGGTTTGCCGTGGCTTTCCTTCCAAGGAGCAGCGTCTTTTAATTTCATGGCATCAGTGATTTTAGAGCCAAAGAAAGTAAAACTTGTCACTGCTTCCACTTTTTCCCCTTCTACTTGCCATGAAGTGACGGGACCAGATGCCATGATCTTAGTTTTCTGAATGTTGAGTTTCAAGCCAGCTTTTTCACTCTTCTCTTTCACCATCATCAAGAGGCTCTTTGCTTTCTGCCATTAGAGAGGTGTCATCTGCAAATCTGAGGTTGTTATTTTTCCCGGCAATCTTGATTCCAGCTTGTGCTTCATCCAGCCCAGCATTTCTCATGATGTGCTCTGCATATAAGTTAAATAAGCAGGGTGGCAATGTACAGCCTTGTCATACTCCTTTCCCAGGTTTGAACCAGTGTGCTGTTCCACATCTGGTTCTAATTGTTGCTTCTTGACCTGCATACAGGTTTCTCAGGAGATAGATTTGATAGCTGATATTCTCATCTCTTTAAGAATTTTCCATAATTTGTTTTGCTCCACAGAATCAAACGCTTTCAAGTAATCAGTGAAGCAGAAGTCAATGTTTTCTGGAATTGTCTTGCTTTTTTTTTCTATGATCCATCCGATGTAGGCAATTTGATCTTTGGTTCTTCTGCCTGTTTGAAACCCGGCTTACACATCTGGAAGTTCTTGGTTCACGTACTGCGGAAGCCTAACCTGGAGGATTTTGAGCATAATCTTGCTGGCAAGTGAAATGAGCGCAACTATACAGTAGTTTGAACATCTTTGACATTGCCTTTTTTGGGGATTAGAATGAAAACTGGTCTTTTCTAGTTCTGTGGCCACTGCCAAGTTTTCCAAATTTGCTAACGTATCAAGTGCAGCACTTTAACAACATCATCTTTTAGGATTTGAAATAACAGCTGGAATTCCATCACCTCCATCTTTTTTCATAGTAATGCTTCCTAAGGCCCATTTGACTTCCACTCCAGGATGTCTGGTTTTAGGTTAGTGACAACACCATCATGATTATCTGGGTCATTAAGACATTTTTTGTATAGCCACTGTAAATTCATTCAGGTTTGAACTTGTTATCAGTGAAATCCCCTAGGCTTTTTCATAGAAAAGCTTGTTAAGGTAGAGTTTTCTCTGAACAACCTTATTTCATGGCATCATATCAAATGTTTTTCTGATTATTTTTAAAAAGGCATCTTTATTTTATTTTTTGGTTGTGCCATGCAGTGTTCAGGATCTTAGTGTCCTGACCAGCGACCAAACCTGTGCCCCTTGCATGGGTAGCGTGAAGTCTTAACCACTGGACCACCAGGAACGTCCCTCATTTTTATTAATTTTGATATTGGTTCTGTTTCTGGAAAATGAATTTTTCTGTCAGCCTTTTATTTATTTTATTTTGTATGTGAACTGTCAAAACTAAGGACAGAAGAAACAATTGAATGTTGATAAGAACATAGAGTAATTAATTCTCAGACACAGTTAATAGAAATGTAAATTGAGACCAAATGTATTTGTACTCTGTGACTGAAGAGTCTCACTCGTACATGTAAACCCGACATGTTCACCAGGAAGAAAGTACAGTGATGTTCTCAACAGCATCTGTAATAATCAGAACTGTAACTAACCTGAAAACCTGTCAGCGGTAGAATGGTAGATTCTCTCACTATTGGCACTCTAAAACTAATGAGACTGAATGACCAACAGTTAGGTGCAGAGATGTGGGTGGATTTCACGGATTCAGTGTCGAATGGAACAAGTCACACCCAGAGGAAGGTGTGCTAGGCTGTCGACCTGCCCCGCTGCTGTCAGAACACTGGGTCACCCCGGCAGTGAGAGCGGGGCTCGGCCGGCGAGGACAGGAGGGCTCTGCGGCTGGGGAAGGGCTCGGCCCTTGTTCTGCGCTGCTGTGCCATTGGTTTTGTGAAAATTCATGGAGCTGTATACTTAGAGCACATACACTTTGCTGATGTAATGTATTTTGCTTTCATGAAGTTTTTTTTAAATGGAGATAAGGTTTACAAACAGTTGAATCTTAAGTTTTGCAGAATCTGCACATTCAGTTTTAAAAAGTGCATGTTCTTGACAAAGAACAGATTATTTTAATTTAATGTAGATATTTGTAATTGGTTCTTGGAGAAAATTCTTTTGATTTCACCTTAATGTACTTGTTTTTCAATATCCTCTATAGCATTACTCCTCTTTAAGCTTTGTTCCCATAAGGAAGCCTGGGGACTGTGGTGGTTATAGGCCAGCGGTGTGTTAATATTTTACGGTCATTATCATTCTGAAAATTGAAAATACTTAAAATAATCTTGCCTTGTAATTTTTGCCTTTTATTAGGTTATTATGAAAGGAAACATGTTTGATTTGTATTATGAAAGGAAACACTAAAATCCAAGCCATGAGAAGATTGTTCCTCAAAACTGACTTTCCAATAGATTCCATTTATAATGACTCACCATTTCATTTGGACCACTTTACCTTGTCTCAGGAAATGAGGAGATTAAGTGAGAATAATTTTCCATTAAAAAAAAAAGAGTGGTTTAATATATAATGTTTAAATTTAGCTTTTTTGTAACAATGATTATTTTTAAACTTCACAAATAACTGGCTTTCAGATTTCGTGTTTTTGATATTTTATTGAAGAGAAGTTGCAACCTGTAGATGTCCAAAGTAGTCTTTAACTAGTAGAGTGTGTTAACTAAGTGCTGGTAAGGATGCAGAGCCACTGGCCCTTTCTTACATTGATGATGGGAACGCAGCATGGCACAGCTGTTCTGGAAAACAGCTTAGCAGATTCTTGTAAAGCTGAACTTACAGTTGCCATATGACTCAGCAGTCCCACTCCTGTCTGTTTGTACTACAGAAATGAAAATTAAATTCACATAAAAACTGATACACAGTTGTTTGTAGCAGCTTTATTCCTAATGGCCAAGAGCTGGAGAGAACCCAGCTGTCTTTCAGTGGATGAGTGAGTAAACAGTGAACAGTCTGTGGTGCGGTTGCTATAATAAGGGGCCGGCTGTTAGTACATGTACACCTTAAATGAGCTTCAAAGACATACTGAGTGAGATAAAAGCCAACCTCAAAAATCCATTCTTAGGATTCCATGTATTTGGCACAAGGGACTTTGGGGGATGGTGGAACTGTTGTGTATCCCAGTTGTGGTAGGGGTTACTTATACACGTTAACATTTACAGAATTACATACCAAAGGGAGAAAGTTACTTTTACTGTATGATAATTAAAAGAGAAAAGATGGTATGTGAAAAAACATATATTTCTTTTTTATTGTGGTCCTGGAGTTTTTATACCCCTTATTTCACATGTTTATCTAACAGAAAGGCAGTGTTAAAAGTACCGAGAATTGGCGTAACTACTTTCAGAAGCTTGTATTTTGTGGCTTAAAGCCGTGGTTGAGATCCCCGCCTTCCTGGCTGGTGGAGAGCGGCAGGTGGGGCGGGGTGGCCTCTGGCGTGCGGACGGTGTGTTGGGATCCCCGCCTTCCTGGCTGGTGGAGAGCGGCAGGTGGGGCGGGGTGGCCTCTGGCGTGCGGACGGTGTCAGTGTGGTGTCTCCTCTAGTGGCTCTTCCTGCTTTGTCTCCCTCCCGTCCTTCTGCAGAGTGTATGAAAGCTGTCTCTTAACTCGCGAGGATTCATTCAGTTAGTGAAGTGCCGCCGACGGGCTCTGCGGCCCCGTCCAAGGGCGTGATGCCTGCGCACAGGTCACAGCAGCCTGTCTCACAGAATCGCGTCTGATCTTTCTTTCTTGCTCTTGCCATTCCTTGCCCTTTTTCTTTGTTCCATTTCCTCTGTGTTACTCTCACTGATTGCAGTGAGGACATGTGATTTGTATGTGTATGAATGTATATGTATATGAGTTACTTTATGGGAAAAAGTTAGAAAATCAGACGAGAACAGTGTTTTCATATTTGCATAAGTCTTCTGTTCATGACTTTCGTCCAGCGGGAAATAAGGCTAAGTACCCATTGAACGGGTGGCTCAGTGGGAAAGAATCCACCTGCAATGCAGGAGATGTGGGCTTGATCCTTGGCTCGGGAAGATCCGCTGGAGGAGGGCATGGCCACCCACTCGAGTTATTCTAGTCTGGAGAATCCCACGGACAGAGGAGCCTGCTGGGCTGTGGGGTTGCAAAGAGTGGGACACGGCTGAGCTACTAAGCCTGCCCATTAAAAGTCCCCTGCCTTCAGGGGACGTGACAGTGAACCACACAGATGCTCCCTCCTTCACTGCGCTCACACTGTCGTGTACTGTGGAGTGAGGAATTAATTCATATCCTGACTTGTTTTAAACATCTTGAATTTCTGTCAGATTATAAAGCTTGTTGAATCCATTCAAATTTTTGCCAATTAGCTAAAGAATTAATTATTTTTTCAATTCTACCTGTATTCTTTACATTTGTATCAGGAAATTGTAGTGGCTTTGGTATTCTAAAATTAATGAAGGATGTGATAATCATAACAAACACATAGCATCAGTGAATAGACTGTATATGCCACTGCATCTGTTGTTGTTCAGTCAGTCATGTCCAACTCTTTGTGACTGCATGCACTGCAGCATCCAGGCCTCCCTGTCCATCACCAAAACTCATGACCATCGAGTCGGTGACGCCATCCAACTATCTCATCTTCTGTCATCCTCTTCTCCTGCCCTCAATCTTTCTCAGCACCAGAGTCTTTTCCAGTGAGTCAGCTCTTTGCATCAGGTGGCCAAAGTGTTGGAGCTTTAGCATCAGTCCTTTCAGTGAATATTCAGGGTTGATTTCCTTTAGGATTGACTGGTTTGGCCTTCTTGCACAAGTTTTTGTCCTGGGCAGTAAATCTACAGTTAACTTGGCTAAAAAGCATTCCTGTGATTTATGTAAGATGATATAATCCTTACAAACAAGTGGTGCCAAGTATTTAAGAAAACATTTGGTGAAATATGTGTCTTATTGTTAAGACTGGCTTTCTCTCTTCTTTCCCCTCTCCCCAGGAGAAATCTCAACTACTTTTCCAATGCTTATGCAGCTGCAGTTAGTGCTGTGGATCCTGATGCAGGGAACGGGGAGCTGTGCATCAAGGTTCCATCAGAGTTGTGGAAACACGTCGATGGTAAAATATCAAGAATATATTGACTGTACAGTTAAATCATGTTGGATTCAGTAACTAAAAGCTTTTCATGAAAGTTTATGGTATTTAAATTATAGTCAGTTGAAATATACAGGAGTTGGAAGCTTTTTTTTTCTTAAAGATAACTGGCTAATAGGAAAACAGCAATCAGGCGCTGTGACAAAAAGCAACTCATTTCAATGTAGTTTTTAAAGTGAAAGTTATTTAAAAAAAACAAATGGATGGAATACTTTGTCAAGATTTGAGAACCCATATAATACTAAGTCAGTTTCTAATCACAGAGTTTTGTGAAAGGAAGGATCCTAAAGAATCATCTTATTCAGTTTCCTCCTGTCGCAGAAGAACAGTCTGATGTCTAAAGAGCATGAGTGACCTGCTGAATGTGACCGGTGAGGAGAGGAGCCAGGGCTAGAGCCTGGGGTTTCTAACACCCACTCCGCACACTTTTATTGTTTCTAAGTCTTTCTTTGCCTGTACAAAGTTACAGCTGTTTTAATTATTATACATCTCTGCCTGCCTTTACTTTGCTGTATAAAATTAATCAAAACAAGGAAGCAAAGTACTTTGGTGTTTTTTTTTGCTTTTTTTGGATAGTTTGTGTGTGTGTAGTGGGGGGAGGAGTTTATGTTTTAGAGATACTGCCTAGTTTAGGGGAAAGGCATGGAAGGTCATCATCATATATTCAGGGATTGGAGAAAGTCCATATTGTTGTCATGTTCTGGGGGAAATTAACAGAAACATGTTTTTAATCTTGTAGATGATGTGTGTGTGTGTGTGTGTGTGTGTGTGTGTGTGCACGCGTGCTCAGCTGTGTGCGACTCTTCGCAGCCCGTGCACTGAGGCCCACCAGGCCCCTCTGTCTGTGGGTTCCCGAGCGAGAGCGCTGGGGTGCACCGCCCCTTTGCTCCTCCAGGGGGTCTCCAGACCCAAGGGCTGAACCCTACTGAACCGCGTCTCCTGCACCGGCAGGCGGGTTCCACCACTGAGCCACCTGGGAAGCCCAGTCTTGGGAAGGCAGTGCATATTTATTGCTTAGAAATAAACCGTAATGAATAATGCTGCATAATGTAAATTCTTGGGTAATCCTTCCCACCTACCCCACTCCCTGCTCCTACTCCTCAGAGTCACAAGTAGGATTAACAGGATTTGTGGGAGTGTAGTAAGTGAACAAACTTGAAAAGTAAGTTTTGAATGGGGTCTGGAAGGCCATAAGTGTCCTAGGTGGTAGTTTTGAACTTTTCTTTTGGCAGTATAGCATTGTCAGAAACTGAGAAGAGAATGTGGTATGATCTGTGTTTTGAGAGCCCACAGCTCGCAGTGACTAGAGTTGAGTGAAGATAAGGGCACCAGTCCCTGGTGCCTCAGCTGGTAAAGAATCTGCCTGCAATGCGGGAGACCTGGGTTCAGTCCCTGGGTTGGGAAGATCCCCTGGAGGAGGGAATGGCAACCCACTCCAGTATTCTGGCCTGGAGAATTCCATGGAGTATAGTCCCTGGGGTTGCAAAGAGTCGGACACGACTGAGCGACTTTCACACTTGCGCTAGGACACCAGTACAAGCAGGTTGTTGAGCTCCTGTAGGCCAAGGGATGGTAAAAACCTGCATCAGGTTAAATAGTGTGGCTTTTTTAGGTAAAACTCAACCTTTGATTCCCACTTTATGTTCAGTGTAAGTCTTTACCCTTATTATATCGACCACTGTTACCTAATATATAGTTATATATCTGTGTGTTTGTTTATTTGTTGCAGAGTTAAAGGTCCTAAAGATACACATCAATTTTTCTTTGGATCAGCCAAAAGGAGGTCTGCACTTTGTGGTACCCAGTGTAGAGGGAAGCATGGCCGAGAGAGGTGCTCATGTGTTCTCTTGTGGGTATCAGAACTCCACAAGGTAGATGACTCATTCTTATGCATTATAGTTGATTGCATATATATATATATATATATATGCAGTACAGGTATTTAGTGTCAGATGAGAAGTATGAACCTGATCCCCAGCTGCTTTTCCCTCTTCGGAATCTTATTCCTTTAATCATTCCTCCTCAGTCCTGTCCTCCCTCCTCTCCTCTTCAAATCTGCTGTTCTAAAGTCATCTCAATTCTTTTATTTTTTAAACTTTTGTATTGAAGTAAAACAACATACAGAGAATTAATGAATTGTAAATAGAAAGCTTGGTACATTTTCAAAGTGAACAGCTTCCTGTAATTCACACTCACATCAAGAAAAAGAGCGGTAGCATTATCAGCATTGCAGAATCACCGCGTCTACCCCCTTCCATTCACTGCTTCTCCTGATAGCCTGAGAAATAACCTCCATCCTGAGCTCCAAAATGCCATAGATTAGTTGCACCTAGTTTTGAACTTTATTAAGTGGAATCATACGTGTCATGCTCTTTATGTCTGCCTTTCTCGTATAACTGTGATAGTGAGATGTACCTTTATTGTTCCATGTAACTATAGTTCATTCTCTTAGCTCTGTAGTTAACCACATTATTGAAATATTTTGTTTTCAGACTATTAACTCCTCCAAGCCAGGGATATTGTCTTATCAGTCTTTGTATTTCAGTAACAGGTACTGACCCTGACACATAGTAAAACCTGATCTGAGTAGAACATTGAATAGAAATTTAGTGTCTGGTTTTGTCGGCACTGTTTGAGTTTATACAGTGCACCACGTACTCCAGAGAAGCGGTTTCCTGATGTATGGAATGGATTCTGGATATTGTATTTTTTAAAACTTTATTGTAAGCATTTTTTGCTCCTGAAAATGAATGCTACATAAAAACTGAATATACAAGTAAAAATTATTTTTAATTAAAAAATCAGAAACTCAGACTTGCTTACTTCTTTTCAGGGTTTAAACTGGAGGTACCACATGATATATTTTATTAATATTGCCAAGTAATGTTTGGAGACAGGGCTGTATCTTTAATCCCATTCTTTCAGGTTGCTCAGTAAAAAGCATTAGTGCACAGAGAGCTAAAAAAATTTTTTTTGTATGCATTCTGTAAATGTTAAAATTCCTTATATGTGGGAGGAACAACGTAGGTTACATTTTCAACGTTTTCTGTACTGTTGATCTTTTTTCTAGATTTTGGTTCCCATGTGTGGATTCATACTCTGAATTGTGTACGTGGAAATTAGAGTTTACAGTGGATGCCGCCATGGTAGCAGTTTCCAATGGAGATTTGGTGGAGACCGTGTATACCCATGACATGAGGAAAAAGACCTTCCATTACATGCTTACCATTCCGACATCTGCGTCAAACATCTCCTTGGCCATTGGACCTTTTGAAATCCTTGTAGATCCATATATGCACGAGGTAAACTGTGGCTTCTTGCTCCCTCCTCTCCTACTCTTTCAAGCTTGATCAGAATATGAGTAAAATACCAAGTTTTTCTTAATTCTTTTTTCAGCTATGAGAACTCTCACTAGAGAGAAAGGTTTTTTATTCTGAAGTGTGTAATGATATCAACTCTTTTTAAATTTTCGTATTTTTTTCATCAGAGGGCTTAGTGTTCCAAAAGAGCTTCAAGTAACTTGGTTAGAATATTGGTCAATTTCTATAACTGATTCTATTAAAGAACTACTATGAGTTTATGAATGTTCTGGATCCCTCTCCAGAACCTGAATATTGCAGTTTCAGAACTAAAAAGCAGGATTAATCCTCACTTCAGCATGTGTAGAGGGAAGAGAAACGGTAAGGCAGGCAGGACTGGCGCTCAGCGAGGTTTCCCCCAGGCTCCTCCGCATGTCTGATCATAAGCCAGGGACCAGTCGACAAGCCCTGTCGTAGTGCTGTCCGGCCTCCTTACGCATCACGTTTCTGTTGGGTATAAAGTGATTCATTGGTTATCGACCCGCATGGTCTCTGTGTTGGTTTAAAGCAACATTTGAATGAATCCCTTAATTCACAAGGTTTGTAAAATCACTCATGGAAAATATTCAAGATGTTTTATGAATGGTTTGCTTTTGGTGTCTTAACAATGACTCTTAAAAGTGTATTCACTGATAAGATGCAGTGAATGTTACCATTTTTGGTAAATGGTCAACTTTAAAATCAAAATTTGATTAGTACCTGCTTCGTATTTTGGAAGAGTTTTTGTTTTCCCACTGAGCCATTGGATGGGAGAAAGGTAAATGTCAGTCAAGAAGTATTTTTCTTAAATACTTAAAGCCTGTGACTTAGTCTTTCTCTCTCAAATAAAGTTTCTCTTGTATTATCAGTAGACTTGCTATCATGTAGTTTTGTCTAAAAGTGAGTCTTTTTGATGAATAGTATTTTCTTTTTTGTTTGTGTACCAGTAAGTGCTCATCACAGTGCAGTTTGGGCCCTGATCACTAGTAATCCATACATGCTCATCCTTCATTTACGGTAGTCTCTAATCTGTTCTTTCATAATGTTGTTAGAAGAGTAGTTTTTTATTAAATGTTAAAAACTTTCCTTGCCTCCACATCCTGCAGTTATCAGATCTGTTTAGCATGGCTAAACATCAAGAGCATCTAGAATTTGACCCTAATATTCCTTTCTAGCTTTTTCCTCATTTCTTTCCTATTTATGTTTGTTCAACATAGTTTACTTATATTTTTTCCAACCAAACCATATCTTTTCCTGTCTTTGACTCCATTTGCAGTGTCCACTTTTCCTGTCCATATGTGTCAAACTTTTGTCCAGTTCAAAAAGATTAGCTCAGATTTAGTCTTCATAAAAGCTTTCTGGATCATTTTGGTCAGAGTGCCTGCATGCCCAGTTGCTTAGTCTTGTCTAGTTGTTTGTAAGCTCATGGACTGTAGCCCACCAGGCTTCTCTGTCCATGGGAGTCACTAGGTGAGAATCCTGGAGTGGGTTGCCATTCCCACCTCCAGGGGATCTTTCTGATCCAGGGATCAAACCCACGTCTCCTGCATTGGCAGGCGTTCTTTAGCACTGAGCCACCTGAGGAGCCTGCTGGTAGAGTGATGATGTCACTTTTGATGTTATTCTTACGGCACAGAATCGTCATAAGGGACAGGAAAACAGTATGTGATGAATGCGTGTTTGTGCCCAAAATGGGATGTAGTGAAAGAAAGTCAGCATTATTATTTCTATTGCTGGTGTTTCTTAGCTCCTCACTACCAATAAGCCTTCCTGAAGCTTTCATGTTGTTTCTGTGTGTGTTCTGAAGATAGGCAGCTTTTAATTATACAGGACGGTACTGTGATGTGCAGTGTTCACTAGGTTAGGTTTATGAGTAAAAGGCAGGTTTATAGTAAGCCTTGGAAATTTAGATTATTTTTGTTCTGTATGCATATGCAGAAGAAACTTTTAATTTGTAACCAAAGTTATATTTTCATTGGATCTAAGCATTTCATAGACATAAAATCTACCATGAATTTAATTCTGATGCATTGACTATTTCATAAACATAATAACAGTAGTCACTAATTTCATACCAGTGTTTTATCTCAGTGCCATGAATTTGTTGGGAAAATGGGGGGAGGGGAGGGACTTAAATGCTGCTTCATTTATAATTGAGATATTTAGGAAATTTAAGATGTAAGTTAACTCTTATTTAATGATCTTCCCTGCTTTTTGTTTTTAGGTTACTCATTTTTGTTTACCTCAGCTTCTTCCATTGCTTAAACATACCACATCATATCTTCATGAAGTTTTTGAATTTTATGAAGAAATTCTTACATGTCGATACCCATATTCCTGTTTTAAGACTGTATTCATTGATGAGGCTTATGTTGAAGTGGCTGCTTATGCTTCCATGAGCATTTTTAGGTCTGTATCCAAATTTGAAATGACTAAATTAGGTTCATGATGTGAAGGTTATTTATTTTATGATCATTTTTAAGATGCATTTTGAACTTTCCCCCTTTAATTTAGCTATGAATGATTTTGTAGAAATTCTGTGTTTTCAAAATTTTTAAATGTAGAAAAGCATAAAGAAAATTTCAAAATAGCCCAAAAGACTCATATTATCTTTATCCAGAATTATCTGCTGTTAATACTTTACATCTTTGTTTTAGTCTCTTTTCTGCTTATGCACTTAAACAAATATACAAAGTACTATATGGATATTTAGTGGGGTTTTTGTCCTAGCACCATATAAAAATTTACTAATATCATCAGAAATTTGTATATAAAAAAATAAGGAGGAAAAACCTTATTTTCTTTTTTCTCTTACCCACTTTATCTCCCTCCCTTCTTTTATTCCTTGAAAAGCTCCAAATTTGGAGGTTTTATGTCTCAGGATCAGTAATTGTTTTTTCTGGGTCTATTTTCTCTTCTATAAAATGTACATAATAGTAGTGTTCCTGCATTCTTCAGAGTGGTTAGAAGATCTGATGGGTCAGTATATTTGAAAGTAAATATTATAGGACAAAAAGTTAGTAGTATTGTTAGGAAAAGATTTTTGAAATTAGAAGACCCCCCCCCCCCTTGTAAAAGGACTAGGCTCTGATGAACATACCAATTTCTGATTGCTGCTGCCACTGCCTAGCCCCCAAAAAGAATATTTATATTTTTCATGGAAATCAGTGGAGAACATTACAATCCTTTCTTTAAACAAAAGTTACTAAAATACGGATTTCAGCTAAAATTTGAAAAGACGTGAAAGCTCTTGGGGAAAGTATTCTGGTTTTTCTCTGTTTTATCTTAATTGAATTCTATCATTTTAAAAGTGTGATTATTTTATCTTGAGTGTTTATTTATTTCTTGGTTATAATTACCTGTCTGCTCTTTGAAATTCCAGCACTAATTTGCTGCACAGTGCTATGATCATAGATGAGACACCTTTGACCAGAAGGTGTTTAGCCCAGTCTTTGGCCCAGCAGTTTTTTGGATGTTTCATATCCAGAATGTCTTGGTGAGTAATTTCAAAGTTTACAAGTCCTGAGAAGAATCAGAAGTTTATTTTTATTTTCTTTTCCTGCATTGTAAGTTGAACTTTGTTCTAACTGCAGATAATTAACAGACACTATTCTGTATATGTTTAAAGAAAAGTAATGAGTATAAATTTCATCCTAAATTTTTGGCCATTTCCTCAAAATATCAGTATAATCAGTTCAATAATTTTCAGTAAGAATAAGGTAAGAACTTTGATAGGAGCAGCCCCTTAAAGAGCTGAGTAAGCACTGTAGACAGCAGGGCTTGAACGCACAGAGAGCTGTAGGCGGGATTCTGGTGTCAGTTCTCAGTTCAGTGGTGGTATGCAGGGGAAAACAGTGATCCCCTGCAGTACTGGCAATGGGTAGGGGTTTCCTGCTAGTGCCTAGTTTTGTACTAATTTACTTGAAAAATGTGAGAAATAAAATACTTTCTGTTTTCTTTCTGACTAACTTAAGATAAATTTGAAGAAACAGACAAAATTCCCTTAAGATTATAACCTAGGATTATAACATATTGATAGTATGTAAGTCTTGATTTCTTTTTATTTTTCTTTCTGGAGGGTGAAGGACAGAGGGTAAGGCCTCTTAATTTATCATTTCCTAAGGCACATAGTTTCGCTAAAGAATAGTCTCTGGAACATGTAGACAAAATGTCTGAATGAATGAATAGATAAACATGAGTATATACATGAATGAATGGTGTCATTGTCTTTCCTCTTAAGAAACTAAGAAGTAAGTGGTTAAACTTCAGGTCTTAGGGTACCGCTAACAATTATGCATGGGGCCGGCAGTACTAGGGTGTGGACTTTGCAGAACTGAGCCCTGTGGTCCTGGCTTCATGCCCGCGGTTCCTCAGGAGCAGACGGCCTGGATAGACTTGGACCTGAGGGAGGAGCTCAGAGGAAGCACAGAGGAGCCTGGGGCGGTGCAAGGGACGGGCAAGGAGCACGCGGCCAGAGGAAGGGGGAGAGCCAAATAGTTCAGTGACTTTTATTTGCTTTAAAAAGGCAGAGAAGTACTTGCTATGCTTGTTCTGTTATCTGAAGAATTCTTATTATTAAAATAATAAAGTTTATTATATTTTATTTCTATTAAAAAATATATTGTTATTTGGCTTTTTGCTTAGGTCTGATGAATGGGTATTGAAAGGAATTTCTGGTTATATTTATGGTCTTTGGATGAAAAAAACTTTTGGTGTTAATGAATACCGCCACTGGATTAAAGAGGTAAAAGCAGCTGGATCCATTTATCTACGTAGAAGTCAATAAGACATGTTTGTGTTCTCCAGAGTTTGCTTTATTTTTAATAACTATAAAATACTTACTGTTAATTGAAAGCCCTTGATTTCTTCCGAAAAAAATGAGAATCATTTTATAGAGACTTATCTATTTTATCTAGTTTCTGTTGCCATTGTTAGCCTCCAAAGACTTGCTAAGAATGAGAATATTTAAGCTCCTTAAACATCAATTCAGCTGTTAGATATATTTCTGCTCCTCATAGTAATGATTTTTAGTGTAATTCTGTGACTTTAATGTAACATCTAAGGGCTTCCCAGGTGGTGCTAGCGGTAAAGAATCCTCTTGCCAGTGCAGGAGACACACGTGATGCGGGTTCAACCCCTGGGCCAGGAAGATCCCCTGAAGTAGAAAATGGCAACCCACTCCAGTATCCTTGCCTGAAAATTCCATGGACAGAGGAGCCGTGCTTTCTAAATTTGTTTAGACTTAGAACCCAGATTCTGGAGTCAGTTTGCTTTTCATTTTGCTTTTATTCACTTCCAGGCTTTATGATTTTGGTTAACCTTCCCATGCCTCTTGTATCAGGAGCGTAAGTTGGAGTAGCATCTACGCCGTGGACAGGAACTAGAGGCATCGTACATGTGTGTGTGTGTAGTACCCAGGTCACAGGACGCATCACTGGACACTGGCTGGTCCTGCACCACATTTACCTTCTCTGTCGTTTTCGCATCTTTTCCCATTATTTAAAGATTTTGGCCAAACAGAAAAAAAATCAGTTGTATTTTGCCCAGCCCGTTCTGTTCATATGCATTTTATTATCATGTTTATCTTCTCCCTTCTCAGTTGGAAAAACTTAAGCCTTTAATAGCCTCATTAAATATACCCTTTTTATCCTCCCTCTTTTCTCATTTTATATACATTGGTCATCTAAACCTAAACTCAAGTAAGTTAAAAAGTAATTGTAAAAAATTTCAAACACTGAGAATTATGAAAGAATCCATATATCTAGAACTGGACAAGTCCGTTTTTTAAAACTATTAACCAAGGGGGAGATGTGACCTACAGCATGCATGGTATTCCAGGCACTGTTACAGACATTTTGTAAATAATAACCATCTTAAACTTCCTAACTACTCTGTCATCATTTGCATTTTACAGATAAGGAAACTGACACAAAGAGAAGTTATTTGGCCAAAGTTATACAGCTAGTGAGCAGTAGAGCCGGGCTGCGAACCTGGCCTTTCACTCCCTCACTGTGGTTTTTGCACTTCTCTGTACTGCTTGTGTCCTCTCTGAACTAGTAATAGATTTTCAGCATAGTTATGGTGTCTCTTTTTTCCACTGAAACTTTTTTTTTCATCTTGACCTGTGTCACATTAGAGAAAAGTAGAGTTTTAAAATTGTGGATTCCTGACATAATTTTATCCCTATTTGTTTTTACTTGCTTAAATCCTCCCCCAGAAGCAAAATACAGAGAAGGAAGAGAGAAATTGGAGAACAGGTCAGAAAGGTTGGGAAGAACCAGCAGGAAAAGTTGCTGGGCTGCCGGCCATCCCTGAGGCCCCACAGGAGAGACGGCTGTTTGGCCCCGTCACTCAGCCAGCTGTGTAGTCTGCCTTGTTTATAAGAGCATAACTACTCTCCAAATACATTTCATTTACTTTCAGAAATTTACATTCTGATTCCAGGAAATTAGAAATCACAGCTTAGTTCTAAAATTTAATATGTAAAATAATGCTGACTGGCCCCTGTTTTTACATCCTTAGGAGCTGGACAGAATAGTGGCGTATGAACTGAAAACTGGTGGAGTTTTATTGCATCCCATATTTGGTGGAGGAAAAGAGAAGGATAAGTATGTTTATTGTTCAGAGATGATATTACAAACTTTGCTTTATGAGATTTGTCTTACAATCACTTTTGTGTGTAATGAGGCCCATATGGGCCACAGAAGTAGTCTATCCTGAGACCACAGATACTGGTAATATTCTTATTACTCCTTTCACTACTGTTGCATGTGGTGGCTGTAGATGGATTTAAACATTCAGAAAAAACTTTAAAAAAGCAATGCTTTTTTTCTTTTTTCATGTTAATTTCCTAATACTAATATTAATATATCATACTGCTCTCATAGAAATTTAAAAATAATGGAACAGGTATTTTGATTAATTATCACTGATTAATTTTTTAAGTCTAAGTACATGATTTCATCATCAACACAGCCTACCTATACCTGTTTATCTAAATGGCCAACTATCTAGACACTTATTTATTCTTCCTTTTTATTTCCTTCTCTTTTTTTCTGTTTCTTAAGTCACTGTAAAGGAAATAGCCATTTATAGCAACACAGTGGTGCTGGCAGGAATTCTTATTTGTCCTAGGATCCATAAATTCCCTAATGGAATATGAACTGAATTGGATGGGAAATTGTTTCTGTATTTCTACTAACCATTAACTGGAATTTTATGTTTCCTTTAATTATAAATGTAGATAACAGACAGTGCTGTGACTTTGCCAATAGTAGAAATCATGGATGTCTTCCTATCACGTTTTAATTGTTAGCAGATATATTGAGATATGTTTTACACTCGTTACATTAGATTTGCAACAGTAGACCACTGCTAGATCTTGTTATTTAATGTATTAGTAAACTAGCACATATATTGGTAATGTTGTAGTTTTAAAAAATATTTTGATAGCTGTATTTCATTATAATTGGTTTCCTTTGTAAACTTGCATATTTTCTGTTCATTTAAAGGCAGTTTTTCTCTTGTAATCTGCAGGATTAATGAGGCTACCCAAGTGTCTAAAAGTACAGCAAAGGTTAAGAAACTGGAATTTGTTCACCAGTAGTCTTTTCTTTTGTTGACGCGTGGTCACTGAGACACGATTAAGTCAGTGGGAAGGCATAGGAGTTTGGAGTTAAAGAAACTTGGATTTTTATAGTTACTGATTTTTGTGAGCTAAGAAAATTATATAGCCTTTCCAAGTGTGTGTGTATTTTAATGTGTCCAACAGTGATGATCTGCCTTAATCATACTGATTGCAAGGGTTACTTGAAATGAAGCTTTAAACATAGTGTGCACTCATTCAAATGTTAGCTCCTTTCACTTTCTCCTTTTGACTGCCTGCCCTTTGGCAGTTTCCTGGTGTGCAATTAGAGCCTCCCATTGTGTGCAAGTATTGTTCACACTGAATGTTTTAGGTTGTTCTGCCCATTTATTTAGTTCTTTCTGTATGTTTGGTTTTCAAAATTTATGTGTAAAAAGTAGCAGATGAATGCATGCTCTTTGAGGACATTCAAAACAGTACAGTTTATAAGCTTGTGGAATAAAAAGGAAAAGATCCTCCTTAGCCCTCTTTTACCACGTCTCACTCCTACCACTTCCTCTCCTTGGAGATAACCGTGATTATAAATTTGGTGTATTGTCCTCCAGACCTCTTTTTTTTGGCTTTTATGTGTATATGGCAGTCACAGAGTATAATTTAATTATGCATATTACTATACACTTTTCTTTTTTAAGAAGATGAATCTATCTGTATTTTGGCGAGCGCTCCATGGGACTGCACGTTAGCTCTTGCTGTTGTTGCTCAGTTGCTTAGTTGTGTCTGACTCTGCCATCCTGTGGACTCCAACACGCCAGGCTCAGTGCAGTTCTCCAAGGCAAGAATCCTGGACTGAGCTGCCATTTCCTTCTCCAGGGGATCTTCTGGACCAGGGGTTGAACCCACTTTTCCTGCGTTGGCAGGCGGATTTCTTACCACTGAGCCACCTAGGAAGCCATACATGAATTTAGTTTGTTCTGTTTGCATGCTGTATATAGTATTCCATGATACCTTGGAGTTAATGTAACCTTTTTCATATTGCTGTGCATAAGCTCAGAAGTAATAAGTGAAGTTTAAAAGCAATTTTTCAAATATCAATTTAGCACATACTTTAAATTTCAATATGCTGTATATTTTAAGGAAGTGTGATGACTATTCTTACATATTGATTGTGAGAGAATAATTTGGTAACACTAATTTTGAAGGGTAATTTGTTCGTAGCAATCGAAATTCTAAAATGGGTAATTTTTAGATTCAGCTGTTCAATTTCTGCTATCATATAGAAATTATTCTTCTAGATATTTGCCATAGAGAAGTACTTGCATATGTATTAAAAGATAGTCAACTGTAGCATTATTTGAAATAGTAAAAAAGTGTAAACACTTCAAATTTTCATGTATGTCATAAATCTTTTCTGCCGACTGTGCCTTTCTTTTACTGATAATCTCTTTCATCATGTCAGAATTTTTCATTTTTACATGGTCAATCTGGTCTTTATGGCCTCTGGATTTTATATTTTTCCTTATGAAGATTTTTCCCATCCCAAAATTATGAAAAGAAAATTTTTTCCTTTATTTTTTTCTAGTACTTTTATCATCATTTTTGTTTTAGATATATGATCCACCTTGAGTGGTTTTTTGTGTATGCTTTAACCTGGGGATGTTGATTGGAATTGCATTGATTGTATGAATGAATTTGGAGAGCACTGAATTATTTACACTTGGTGTCTTCCTGCCTAAGAGATGTTTCCATTTATTCAAATTTTCCTTTATGTCCTTTCATAAAACTTTATAATTTATTTATAGTTAAGTTTATTTTTAGATGTTTCCTAGTCTTCGGTGATCTCACACTAAGAATTTCTCAGGTATTCCCATGAGGTTTTTGGCTTAGTATCTTGATATAGCCATGAAATTTATTATTTACTTCATTCAGATTTGTAACACTAACTAAGAAAATCTGTTTTCTTAGCCCAGCGTCCCATCTACACTTCTCCATAAAGCATCCACATACGCTCTCCTGGGAATACTACACTATGTTTCAGTGTAAAGCTCACCTTGTGATGAGATTAATTGAAAATAGGATCAGTATGGAATTTATGTTGCAAGTAAGTATTAAAGAACTTAATAATTGTAAAGAAAGATCTGTTCTATATGCATATAATCTGAATACTATTCTGTAGACTAGGAATCAGGGCCTCTGGCTTTATAGCTGAAGTTCAGTTACTAATTAGCTGTTTGTCCAGTAAGTAAACTGTTCTTTTTTTTTTTTTTAATTTACTGAAAGATAATTGCTTTACAGAATTATGTTGTTTTCTGTCAAACCTCAACATGAATCAGTCATAGATATATACAACATCCCCTCCCTTTTGAACCTCCCACCCCATCCCACCCCTCTAGGTGATAGAATCCCTGTTTGAGTTTCCTGAGCCATACAGCAGATTCCGGTTGGCTGTCTATTTTACATATGGTAATGTGAGTTTCCAGGTTACTCTGTCCACACATCTCACCCTCTCCTCCCCTCTCCCCAAGTCCATAGTCTGTTCTCTGTGTCTCTTTCTCATAAATTCTTCAGTGCCATTTTTCTAGATTCCGTACATACACGATAGAATACAAAGTTTATCTTTCTCTTTCTGACTTACTTCACTCTGTAAAATAGGTTCTAGGTTCATCCATCTCATTAGAACTGACTCAAAGGCTTTCCATTTTATGACCGAGTAATATTCTGTTGTGTATATGTACCACAACTTCTTTATCCATTCATCTGTTGATGGACATCTAGGTTGCTTCCATGGTCTAGCTATCGTAAATAGTGCTGCAATGAACAATGGGATACACATGTCTCTTTCCATTTTGGTTTCCTCAGGGTCTATGCCTAGGAGTGGGATTGCTGGGTCATTTGGTGGTTTTATTCCTAGTTTTTTAAGGAATCCCCATACCATCTTCCATAGTGGCTGTATCAATTTACATTCCCACCAACAGTGCAAGACCATTCCCTTTCCTCCACACCCTTTTCAGCACTTTCTGTTTGTAGACTTTTTGATGAGGGCCATTCTGACTGGTGTGAGGTGATACCTCTTTGTAGTTTTGATGTGCATTTCTCTGATAATGGGTGATGTTGAGCATCTTTTCATGGGTTTGTTAGCCATCTGTATGTCTTCTTTGGAGAAATGTCTGTTGAGGTCTTTTCCGCATTTTTTGATTGGGTTGTTTATTTTTCTGATATTGAGTTGAATGAGCTGCTTGTATATTTTGGAAATTAATCCTTTATCAGTTGTTTCATTTGCTATTAGTCTCTCCCATTCTGAGGGTTGTCTTTTCACCTTGCTTATAGTTTCCTTTGCTGTGCAAAAGCTTTTAAGTTTAATCAGGTCCCACTTGTTGACTTTTGTTTTTATTTTTATTACTCTAGGAGGTGGGTCATAGAGGATCTTGCTTTGATTTATGTCATAAAGTGTTCTACCTATGTTTTCCTCTAAGAGTTTTATAGTTTCTGGTCTTACATATAGGTCTTTAATCCATTTTGAGTTTATCTTTGTGTATGGTGTTAGGAAGTGTTCTAATTTCACTCTTTACATGTAGCTGCCCAGTTTTCCCAGCACCACTTATTGAAGACGCTGGCTTTGGCCCAGTGTATGTTCTTGCCTCCTTTGTCAAAGATAAGGTACCCATAGGTGCATGGGTTTGTTTCTGGGCTTTCTATCTTGTTCCTTCGATCTGTATTTCTGGTTTTGTGCCAGTTAACGTATTCTTTTTGTTTGTGTTTCCCCAGATGTAGAGTGGGTGTCAATACTTGATCCATGCAGTGCAGGGTTTTTATGAAGATAAGATTAAAATGTGAGGTTAAAAGTAAAACCTAGTTATGCTAGGATTTTGTGTTTGGCATTATTTAGAATGTTAAAGAGGAATATATTTTCAGCAGAAAAAAGCAAATTTATTCAAAAGATGTTTATTTTTTCTGTTGCTAAGTTCTCCCTTATGTTTAAGCAAGCTTTGATGGAACTTGTGGAGATGTTCTAGTTGAGGTAATAGAAGCCACTTGTATTATAAATGCTTGGCCTTTTTTTTTCCATTGATGATATTCTTAGAGGTAAATGAAAAATAACTTTGTAGTAATCTTTTTGAAAAAGCATTTCAAATTTGCCTCAAAATTAAGTTTCTTGAATCCTCTACCCTTCACCTTGCCTTTGAAGAACAAGTATCAAGTGAGAGGTGGTCTGTAAAGAGGCAGTCCACTTCTTAGAGTGGTATAAATCCACATGAAGGTTCTCAACTTCTTAAAGCTCATGGCACAGTACATTATAGATGTATGTTATTATAGTTCCTAAAAACACAGTGTCATTGTCTGGCCAGGACATCGTTAAAATTCAGTTATGTTTAGAAGAATAGTTTCGTAGTCTGGCTGTTTAAATCTTTTCGTGCTTTACTGCTCATAGTTTTTAACTAAGACTATGAAGTCTATGAAATAAGATGTGAAATTGTTGTCTTCTATGATTGTCTATAATAAACTTACATTGCAAAGTGGGAATAGTACAGAATTGAAAGCAATGTATAATTGTGTTACACAGACACGCTAAATGATACTTTCTTACAGGTTTTCAATAAACTGCTAAGTTTGGCTAGTACTGCTTCATCTCAGAAGTTCCAGTCACATATGTGGAGTCAAATGTTGGTTTCCACATCTGGATTTTTGAAATCCATTTCGAACGTCTCTGGCAAAGACATCCAGCCTTTAATAAAGCAGTGGGTGTATCCTTTTCAGCAGTAGTTGAGTGAAGGAGGGAAGGTTATTTGTATAAGGGGAAGAAGGAAGAGCTCTGGAGGATAAAAGGAGGCAAATAATGGTAGATGTTACCAGGAACTGTAAATCATTTCCTCGGAGGTGCCAGCTAGTCACTGAGGTGCGCACATCCATGCACATCTGTATTCGTGAAGTTTAGCTTACTTTAAAGTACCTTTTAGTATGTGGTGCAGCAGTAGGCTTGATGATGAGGGAGGTGAATGATCCAGCGGACAGGCTTGCAGGGTCACTGTAAGATGCAGCGGTCTGATGGCTTTTAGGTGTGGCTGGGGCTTGGCACAGCTTGCATGCTGTCTTGGAACTTTTCGGTCGTTATATTTTTTCATTTCAAAGCACTTTCTATATTAATAACCCTGTGGAGTGGTTTTGCTTCTTTCAAAAAAACTTTTTTTGAAAGATCTTTTCTTTTAAATCTGGGAAAACATTTTTCACAGGAATTTTGAATGCTTTGCCACCTGGTTTACAGTGGAGTATGCTCTTAAGCTTTGAACTGATGGGAATGTGTTTGAAAATTATGATGACCCTAATGAATAATTTATTTTTTTTAGTACGTGTTCATTCCAGTTTGCAAAGATTCCTTTACAGTTCTTCAGAGACCAGAGCGGAGTGGTAAAATTTTACGGAAGTTTTGCCTTTAATAGAAAGCGAAATGTCTTAGAACTGGAAATAAAACAAGATTATACATCTCCTGGAACCCAGAAATATGTGGTAAGTTTTTTTTCCAGAATGGCCTTTCTGCACCACTTTCTGCCCAGTTTAAATAAAGGAAGGGCTTATGGGTGAGGAGCTGGTTGGAACTTTCATAATGAGATTTCGTTTGCAAAGACTGAAATTGAGCAAACACCCAGTGTCAGTGAGGGAAGGAGGGCTTGCTTACAGAGGTCTTGGGGAAACAGTGTCTCCCAGTTCCCCAACTGGGAACTGCCCTTCTGAGCCTGCACATGCTAGTCTTACACAGTGTTGTTGAATATCTTGGTGAATGTTCCTTGCATGTAAGAGAACACATGATTTGTTTGTGTTCTTTTTTCTTTTCCTAGCACTGTCTTTGAGCAGCATGTTTCTTTTTAAAGGGGCCGCTTAAAGTGACCGTACAGGAGCTGGACGGGTCCTTCAACCACACCCTGCAGATCGAAGAGAACAGCCTCAAGCACGACATCCCTTGCCATTCCAAAAGCAGGAGGTAGGCACCCTCCGCAGTAGAACCCCAAGTTGTTAGGTGGAGGATGCGTTACCTACCATCTTTTTTCCCCATTTTACTTCCAAGTTAGCATTTCTGTTCTTGACAACATTTTTGTCCTTAGAATTAAACAATTAATTTTAAAATTTAAGTATGAGAATCCTTATTTTGTAGGAACAGGGGGATGTAGAATGGAAGTTTGAGTTTTGGGAGCCAGGAAAAATTCAGGACAGATTGCTTAGGGTTGTTCTTCCTAATCTCATTGGATTAATAGCTATTGAAAATTTGGGGGAAATGAACATTGACTCTAAAGAAAGGAGCTGAGTCCATATGTCGTGAAAAAGCCCCTGCGTTCTCTTCCCGTGTCTACCCTCCCTTTTCTCCATGTCACCATGACCTTAGGCACAACCCAGATGTCTTTCTAAGGCACATTGCCAGCAGTAGTTCATCTTTTATTTAATATGCTTTTTCTTTACCACTTTTTTTTTTTAACTCAGCACATACTCTGACTAGTGAAAAATGAGAACATTTTTGTTCTTTGCTGGAGGAGTGTGTATCAATGTCAGAATTTTAGGAACAAAAGTTTTTTATTCATGACTGCACTTAGGTCATCTCAAACAGACAAGCATGTCAGTTGATTTTGAGTCCTTTAGAGAACTTGATTCTGAAGTCTCCCTGTAATCATTCTCTGTGAAAATTCTTTCTTAGTTCAAAGGAGATCCTTCTTCTTTTTGTTCTGTTCTCCTTTGACATCGGGAGCATCTGATTGCTACGCTTTTCATCACATTTCCTTAGTTTTATTTCCTCCGTAGTAACAGCAGGTCGTGAGGAACAGAAGCAGCCTGTGCTCTCTCTCCCCATTTGTATTTGTCCTCACGTGACCACGCGTTTAGTGTAGGGTCCCGAAGAGGTCATTGTTCAGGAGTGACTTGCACGGAGGCAGTTGCTTTTGTTTTGGCTCATCATAAATCTTGTGCATATTGATTAATTATGCATGTTAATTCCTCCTGTGAGGATGTTTTGTAGTTAACTTCTTACTTCATTTCATATAGGGTCTCACCTTGCGTGTATAGCACTTGTTCAGAATTATTCATTTCTAAATTCAGGCCTGTGTTGTTTTTTTTAAATAAAGCATTTCTTTATTGTAGATCTCTTACCTTCTTGTATAAAATTTCCAGGTACTGGTTCTTTGAAATATGTATATGTTTTAAGCTGACTTTTAATTAGATATTTCTGACTTTTGTTAAACATTGATCGGGAAGACCTTTTAATATCGTTTATTTCATCCTCTTCAGTTTCAAAGTAGATAGGTTTTGTTGTGTTTAAATTCCATTATATTTTCCATCTCTTCCTCCGTAGAATATCTTTCAACACTACATGCTATTTTTAATTTGAACTTCAGCTGCTCTTTACCTCTTGTCAAAATTGGAAATGTCAGAATTTTCGAACTTACTTTTCGTTAAATGTAGGAATAAGAAGAAAAAAATTCCACTGATGAATGGCGAAGAAGTTGACATGGATCTTTCTGCAATGGAGTAAGTTAGTTACTTAAATTCAAAGATACAATATTTTCTGCATTCTCATTTGTCTTATAATATACGTCTAAAAGTATGTAAATGTTCTGAAATTGATGCCGTTAAAACTTTCAAAAGGCAAAAGAACCCTTACATTGATAACAGATCAAACGTAAGATTATAATTAATCAAAGAGAGAAAAGTAAATCTAGCCTGATCCAGGTAAAATTCAGAGGAAATAGCCTTGAATTAGCTTTCTTGCTTCACTGGTGGTCTCTAGAGAAGTGCTTCTAAGCTGAAGTGCCTGTACAGTACTTGGGGATATCCTTAGAATTTAGTTTCTGATCCAGCATTTCACTTGTTGAGTCCTGACAGCTTGCATTTCCAGTAAACTGTCTGATGATACTGGTTTTCTTGGTTTTTGGACAGAGCCTCAGGGCACTGTGAGGCCTCCTTTGTTTGCAAAAAGCAATTTAAATATCATTGTAAATTTTTTGTGGTGACATTTACTGATTGACAGCATTTTATTTTTAAATATAATGTAGCTCAAACTTTATTTTGCCCATCCATATTGTGCCTGTGTATTTTTTTAATGCCTATGTATTTTATAAAAATATATAAGTGCTTTATAAAAATATAAAATATCTGTAATTGTTTACTCACTTGGGTACCAAATATTACTGCTGTTTATTACACAGCTTATATAATCTTTTCATATCAAGTGTTTCACGTATATTAAGTACCCAGTAGTATTTGTTGAATTGTATCAGTATTTCAGGTGCTGTTCTTTTGTTAAAAGAGACTGGTTTTTTCAAAACTGTGTTTGTGACTTTGAGAACTACCTGAGGATAAATTTGTGCTGTGCCTCTGAACTATGATTTCAGGACTTTCTATTTGATAATGATCATCATGAGACTAGCATTTTTAAAAAATATTAAAAGTCAGTGAAACAAATTAATTTAGTAAATTAATAAGAAGTAAGTTCAGTCACAGATTGATTTCTAATAGAGTGGCGTTTGTAACCATTGTCAGGTGTTAAGCTTTAGGAAATAAAATGAAGAAATTTGGTCCTGTTTTCCCTTTTCACACTGTGTAGTCACTAATAAAGTCCCCAAATTATTTTTTCAGGTGGATTTTTTTGTTTCAGCAAGATTTATATAGGTTAGACATATAAAACTTGAAATTCATATTAGATATAATGAGAAAGTTGTCGGTGTGATTTTAAAAAAAAAAATGAATATAGTAAAACTCCAGGCAGTTTTGAATACAGCACGGAGAAGACAATCCGGTTAATAAATGCTGTGTGTTTATTTTATAAATATATGAAGTGGAAAAGAAGGAAACGAGCCTGCTCTCTGCTTTCAGTGCTGACTCTCCTCTGCTGTGGATAAGGATCGACCCGGACATGGCGGTGCTGCGGAAGGTGGAGTTTGAGCAGGCGGACTTCATGTGGCAGTACCAGCTCCGCTACGAGAGGGACGTGGTCGCCCAGCAGGAGGCCATCTCGGCCTTGGAGAAGTTCCCCACTCCCGCGTCCCGGCTTGCCCTCACGGACATACTGGAGCAGGAACAGTGTTTCTACCGAGTGAGGATGTCTGCCTGCTTCTGCCTTGCAAAGGTGACATTATGTACAGTGGAAAGAAAATAAGATGGCTAGTGCATTTAAAAAAACAACCCTGAAGAGGAATTAAACTTCTCTGCAGTCTTTCATTTTACTTGGTGTGATTGGTCTCCTTTGCCACATTCTTTTAACAAGGCCGATTTGAAAGAAACATGTTTTGACCTGAAGATAAATTGTGCACTGAAGTTTTGTGACTGTCAAACTGAAAGATTTCAAAACCAAAGAGAATTTTCCCCATTTTATTGAATTGCCCTGCACATTGTTAAAGCAAAAATGTAAGCAGTTCCTTGGTTTGAGGGATGTTTTACCTTGTGGTACATGAGATTCATTCATTCATTAATTTATCCCACTATAGTGGTGATTTCTTGTTGGTTAGAGCTTAGTATTCAGTATAGGGATATGGATAGATTCTATCATTTAACATTCTACAAAAGTTAATTTATTAAGAAAAGTAAATATTTTTCTTTAGATCCTTCAAAAAAGAAAAGAAACATTTGATGATAGAATAAATGAAAATCAAAAAGTGCTGACAGATATTTGACCAGAAATACTGGGTTCCAGGTCTTTAAAAGCATCTTGATGATGAGTTCATTCCCATGTATTGACTCTCTTGCTTTCCTCACTGCTATATCCACTTGTCCAGCATTTCAGCAGATTATAATGATTTATATTTGTTTCACTTTAATGGTAAATAGTGACTAGTTAGACCCCTTTATCTACTCAGATATATAAGGGAAAATATGATTTTCTTTGATAATCATCTGCTGAGGGTGTAATTTTATTGCTTCTGTAAAGTTCTTGTAGTTCTCACATGCTAAATCCTTAGCAAATCTGTAAAATTATAGCCTGTGTTATTTAAAGTTAATTATAATTTCATTCTTTTCAGCTATGGTTTTTATACATTATTAGCTTTCTTGGTGGCTCAGATGGTAAAGAATCCGCCTGTAATGCAGGAGACCTGGGTTCAGTCCCTGGGTTGGGATGATCCCCTGGAGAAGGGTAAGGCTACACACTCCAGGATTCTGGCCTGGAGAATTCCATGGACAGAGGAGCCTGGCAGGCTGCAGTCCATGGGGTCACAAAGAGTCAAACACGACTGAGCAACTTTCACTTTCAAAGTATCAAAAACAAGATGTATTTTCTTTGTAATGTGTTCTTACAGATTTAAATGGTAGGCCTATATTTGTATTATTTTTCAGTTAGAGTAGAGTTAAAAGCCTTATTTAAAGTGCATGGTGATGTTTCTGTCTGATTAAAATATTAGAACTTATCTGCCTGAATGGACAAATTTAGAAGTCTTTGCAAACAAGATTTCTTAAAACGTAAAAAGAATGCTCCAATTTAGAGATTAACTAATAGAAAATAGTTACACACGTGCATAGAATTTTAGGAGGGGTGAGTTTATATATTTTCTTGGAAATGATAGTGAGATGCTGAAATATATTAAAGTTTTAAGAATTGAAATCCTTGGAAATGAATCCAGTATATTGATAACTTTCAGAAAGCTATTTTATTTATTTAAAAATACATTTGCCATGGTGATGGAAATTATTCCATTTTCTAATTATTTGCAGATTGCAAATTCAATGGTGAGCACTTGGACAGGACCACCAGCCATGAAGTCGCTCTTTACTAGGATGTTTTGTTGTAAAACTTGTCCGAACATTGTGAAAACAAACAACTTTATGAGCTTTCAAAGTTACTTTCTACAGAAGGTACAGTTGCCCTTCTAGTTTTCTTATAATTATTTTATGCCAATATCAGTATGTATTCATTTACCTTGAGGACTCTTCGAATATTATTTACTTTCTCACAGATTATTTTGTCTTTTTTCTCTTTTTGCTTCTAAAATACTTTCCAAAGTTTTGATTGTTCTTTGGTTTTATGAACTGTGTGCAAGTGACTCACTGTCCACATTAATACTGAAGTCAATAGAAATGGATGATTTGACTTTTTGGTTGGTTCCCTGGGGGATGGAGGTATAAGTAAGAAGTGGATGATTTGATTTTTTGGTTGGTTCCCTGGGGGATGGAGGTATAAGAAGTGGATGATTTGACTTTTTGGTTGGTTCCCTGGGGGATGGAGGTATAAATCAGAAGTGGATGATTTGACTTTTTGGCTGGCTCCCTGGGGGATGGAGGTATAAGTCAGAAGTGGATGATTTGACTTTTTGGCTGGCTCCCTGGGGGATGGAGGTATAAGTCAGAAGTGGATGATTTGACTTTTTGGCTGGCTCCCTGGGGGATGGAGGTATAAGTCAGAAGTGGATGATTTGACTTTTTGGCTGGCTCCCTGGGGGATGGAGGCACACGCAAGTCCTTCTGATGGCTGTCCCTGTCGAGTGTGGACAGCATTTCTGGGTCAGAGACAGTGCAGCACACAGCTCCGGCTTAGTCCTGGCTCTTCTCCTCACTGGCAGTTTGCAAGAGGACAAGTCTTTCAACTCTAAGCCTTGGTTTAGTCATTTGTAAAGTTTACCTTTTTTAGAATTAAGTAATATCAAGCATGTGAAGGGTTTTACACTATATTTTTATCACATAGTAAGTTGTTTATAAATGGTAATTTAAACAGTGGTGGTGTGATAAGTCACTGTTCAGGAAGCGGTGTGGGATTGGCGGGGTGGTCAGTGTTTGGACAGCTTGGAAATCACTTGTGAAATATTTTGAGTAACTTAATAATAACGAAGGCAGAGGTTAGATTAACTAGATTGAACTAGAAGGAGGAGTAAAGTTGAAGAGTATGAGAAAAGGAGATATGTTAAGGATAAAGCAAGGCTGAGAAAGGGCACTTTAGGTTTTATTTTGTGTAGAGGGAGAAAAGGCTTGAGGCATGTCTGGCACAAAGTGAAGAACCAGTGGAGCAGATGAAATGTTCACGTGGAAGCAAGTAAATACGAAAAAGACAAGATAGAGCAAATTCTAGAGTTGTTAGTAGTGGGCAGGACATAGTTGGAAGGTTAATTTTAGAAAAGATAAAAACATCCCATTTTCTGAGGCAAGTAGGAGCCAGATTAAATGGAGTGGTAGGTGTTGAGGGGGGTGTTAAGCAAGGGGCAGTCTGTGTGTGAAGGAGGGAGGTGGGCAAGGGTTACTCAGCCGTGGGAGCGTGGGAGTCATGACGCCTCTGCAGTGGATGTCATCAGCAGAGCAGACTCAGGAGACCTGGGTGTGAGGAAAGCCAGTGTTGGTGCGATCAAAGAAATCTGAGGCGTCTGCTATCTATCAGCTGAGCCTTTCGTAGTCCTTGAACGTGCTGCTCAGCTCTCGGTTATTGCCGCTTCACTAACGTGTGGCCTGGAAGCGAGTTAATTTCCGTGCCTGTGGAGCACGTCCCCTTCGCTCTGCCCTTGTTCTTCCACGGGCCTTGGGTCATTGTGCAGAGTGGGAGTTGTGACCCATTAGTCAGGCAGTCATGAAATCAGTTTGTAAGTTGTTTTGTTTTTGTTTTTAAGCAAAATAAAACAATAGGCAGTATCAGAATGCAACACATGTAATAAGGGTAGGTATAAGTTGTTTTGGTTTTATTTTTTAGTTTGTATATGTGACTGTGTGTATGTGTTCAGTTGGAATATAAACATATTTCTTAATGTGGTTTGCAGTCAAAAAAAATTGGAGAAGCCAGTGCTTTCAGACCAGTTCACCTTTCACATAATACTTGCAGTGCCAGAGAAAAGAATGAAGATTCGTGCTTAAATTTAAGTCCTGTGTCTGTGAAACAGAATCTTGCCCTCAGTTCTTACAGCCTTGGTAACACCTGTTGGAACAGTGACCATCTGCTGCTTCTGCGCCTTCAGTCTAGCAAAGGAGCCACGCTACGTTTTGTCCACCAGTTTAGAGGGTATAGTTATTTTGATCAGAAGAGAAAATAGTTCAAATCTCTCTGTACTGGGGACTGTGATGTCCATTGTTTGTGGTTGTATCTTGAGTTGGAATAGCTCTGCTCTGCTATTCTGGTAGAGGTTACCTCTGTGGGTCAGGCTTCCACCTCCTTAGAAAACTTGTCTATGAAAATTTGAAAAGGGGGAAGTTGGATTTCAGGTAATTTACCGTTTTTCCTTAGGCTGAGAACAAGGTGGTACTGGAGAGTCTGTGTGTCTTGAGACTAGTAGTTGAATTCTGCTGTCTGCCATATGCCTCTAGCCACTGTATCTGTTAACCTTGAAAGTGGTGCTCAGCAAGCAGCTAGCTGAAATAAGCCCCCTTATAGACAGTGGGGTACAGACTGAATATGGTCCGTCTGATGCTAAAACCCATGCATCCCTTTTCCTCTGTAAATCACAGAGCTGCATTTGTGTGACGTGTCCCTGTTCCCGCAGGGGGGCTACTGAGTCCCCCCAGCTCTGCGGCTCTCCCCTGGGGCTCCTGCTTAGCTCTCTTGCTAGAGCATTTGAGGCCTGTTCCCGTGGGAGGGGTAGGAGCCGGGGGGCTGGGCACCTGGACTCCCTCCAGGTACTGTGTCAGTCCCAGGGCAACCCTTTTTCAGCATGCACTGCATTGAATTATAGTGATGAAAATTGAAAACAAAATTTTTCTTCTAGACTATGCCAGTTGCAATGGCCTTACTGAGAGATGTTCACAACCTTTGTCCCAAAGAAGTCTTAACATTTATTTTAGACTTAATCAAGTACAATGACAACAGAAAAAATAAGGTATGTTACTTTAATGTTAATAAAACTAGCCAGTGATACTTTGTTTTCAGAGAAATATTTAGACTATGAAATCATTGTTATGTCCGTGGAACTTGAAATTTCTAGAGATAGAAACATTTTATACAAATATGATTTATTATAGTAACCAGATATCTGAAAACCAAGATTGGTTGATTTTTAAATGTTCCTTTTACCTGTTATAATGTGGAGAGAGTAGCACATCAAATTTTGGGAACTCAGCTGATGTTTGTTTTGGTGAAATCTGACACCGCAATTTTATTCTTATTGCTTTTTTCTTCTATCAGAAAACAGTTCCTCTTGGATAACTTGTTCGTTGATGAATTTTACTCTTTTCTTTTTTTGAACCATAATGTGTGTTCTAGTCACAGTTTAATAAATAGCTATTGAATGCCATGCTTCAAAAGTTATTTCACCTTACTCATTATCATTCTAACAGTCGGCAAGTGTTTTTGAGAGTTTTTCCTATGCTAGGCAGTATACCATGTTAAATAGAAAAAGAAGGCATAGCAGTTGCCATCTCACATTGTATTTAAACATATATTTGGGACTTCCCTGAAGGTCCAATGGTTAATACTCCACAGTTTCACTGCAGGGGGTGCAGGTTCAGTACCTGGCTGGGGGACGAAGAACCTGCATGCTGCACAGAGCAGCCAGAAACAAACAGGAAACTGCAGAAGAGCTGTGTGCCTGTGACAGTCTGATTCTGGGCCTCAGGGTTCAGCCTAATGAGGAAGCCCAGCAAGGCAGCAGCTAGGTTTATCACTGCTAAAGTGGGGGTGTGTGGACACAGATTTCTGGAGAGGAAGTAGTTATCCACAGTACCAATGGAGCTGTAAATATACTTGCGGAAAACTTATAAGCATTATTTAAGTAATCTCTGAATACAAATAACCCTGCTGATAGAATTAACTTGCTTGCTCCATGTTCAAATTTCTAGGCCAGTACATCTGATTTGCTGAGTTTAAATCAAGCCACGCCTGGATTGCTTTCAATTAAATTTGTCTTCTTGGAGTCGACTGGGATATGGATTTAGAAATTTTTGTTCGTTTTGGGGGAACAAAAGCATTTTCTCTGCTTTTGCTGCAACTCTTATTGATGTCTTCTACACCAGCCCTCCAGCTTCCTTGTGCTTTCTTTCCTATTTTTTAACTTTTTTGCTCAAAATTTCGAGTTTTTTTTTTTCAATTTTATATTCCAATTTAATTTTGATTCTGATTCCCTGCATATTTCTTTCTCTTAAACATGTAGTATTCTGTTGGAAGGCATATCATTGGTTACTTCTCAGACTCTGTTAATGACAGCTTTTGAATTTTCTTCCCTCTACTGGTTTTCTTTTCTTTGTATACTCTTTATTTCCTCCAAGCTGCTTTCCCTGCTTTGTTCTAGTCTCTCTTTCTGTTGATGCTTTTTTCAGATATCTGGTGACCCTTGTCTTAGATGAGAGTGAAACACAGAAACAGCTGATTCAAAACTCTATATTGCCAGCAGAATTTGTGAACTGCAGTCTTCCTTTTAGACGTATCTGGCTAGATTACTATGAGAGTGCCTTACATGTAGTAAACATTCGTAAGGTAAGCTAGTGTGTTCAGTTCAGTTCAGTCACTCAGTTGTGTCCAACTCTGCGACCCCATGAATCGCAGCACGTCAGGCCTCCCTATCCGTCACCAACTCCCAGAGTCCACCCAAACCCATGTCCATTGAGTAGGTGATGCCATCGAGCCATCTCATCCTCTGTCGTCCCCTTCTCCTCCTGCCTTCAGTCTTTCCCAGCATCAGGGTCTTTTCCAGTGAGTCAGCTCTTTGCATCAGGTGGCCAAAGTACTGGCGTTTCAGCTTCAGCGTCAGTCCTTCCAGTGAACACCCAGGACTCATCTCCTTTAGGATGGACTGGTTACATCTCCTTGCAGTCCAAGGGACTCTCAAGAGTCTTCTCCAACACCACAGTTCAAAAGCATCAATTCTTCGTGCTCAGCTTTCTTCACAGTCCAACTCTCACATCCGTACATGACCACTGGAAAAACCATAGCCTTGACTAGATGGACCTTTGTTGGCAAAGTAATGTCTCTGCTTTTTAATATGCTCTCTAGGTTGGTCATAACTTTCCTTCCAAGGAGTAAGAGTCTTTTAATATCATGGCTGCAGTCACCATCTGCAGTGATTTTGGAGCCCCCCAAAATAAAGTCAGCCACTATTTCCACTGTTTCCCCATCTATTTCCCATGAAGTGATGGGACCAGATGCCATGATCTTAGTTTTCTGAATGTTGAGCTTTAAGCCAACTTTTTCACTCTCCTCTTTCACTTTCATCAAGAGGCTCTTTAGTTCTTCTTCACTTTCTGCCATAAGGGTGGTGTCATCTGCATATCTGAGGTTATTGATATTTCTCCTGACAATCTTGATTCCAATTTGTGCTTCCTCCAGCCCAGCGTTTCTCACGACGTACTCTACATATAAGTTAAATAAGCAGGGTGACAATTTACAGCCTTGATGTACTCCTTTTCCTATTTGGAACCAGTCTGTTGTTCCATGTCCTAGTAGCTAGTGTGTTACTATTAAGTAAATCTCTTTCACTCTTTTTTTCCAATATGTGAGTCTATGCCAAAGGACAGAGTTGAGTACTTAACCTAAAAACTTGCTTGTCTTTGCAGATAACTTATGTTTTTACAGTTACTGTGTTTTATTTCATTCACTTTTGGAAAGAAGTGTAAATTTATCATCATCTCGTAACTGTCTCTGGGCCTAGTTTTCAGACAACTATTACCGCGCAGAGATGATCGATGCCCTTGCCAACTCTGTTACGCCTGCAGTCAGTGTGAATAATGAAGTTCGAACTTTGGATAACTTAAATCCGGATGTGCGACTCATTCTTGAAGAAATCACTAGGTTTTTGAATATGGAAAAACTTCTTCCAAGTTACAGGCACACCATCACTGTCAGGTATAATGATTCTTCATATTACTTTCTTAATGTTACTTGCTTTCATAATTATTAAAGTTTATTTTCATAGAAAATAGAGAAATAAAGTAAAAAAAAACTTATATGAGTCTACCATCCATAGGTAAATTATTACTCTTTTGGAGGTCTTCTAAATTTTTTCCTGTGATAACTATATCAATTTTTAACTTTTGACATATACTTATATCATGAACACTTCCTCATGTCATCAGAAATTATTCATAAGTATTATATTTGATATCTGCATAAGCTTTTATCCCATTGGATATAGTTTAAACACCCCTCTATTTTAAGGCTTCTTTTAAGATTTTTTGCTTCTCTCAAATTTGTTGTACATGACTATCAACAGCTTTTATCTGTTTCATTAGGAGTTTGCTAAAAAAAATTGTTGATTTACCAATTCATCAGTATAAAGTCTCAGCTTTCCATGTATGTTAGTGAATAAAGCATACTTGTATCACTAAAACTTTTAGAAAGAGTACTTTATTTAAGTTATATTTTATGCTAAATACATTTTTCTGTAGTGTGTTCCTATTATAAATATAATGATACCTGAAATTGGATTTCCTAAGTTTTGAAATATGTTTTCTTTTAATAGTTTTTAGGATCATTATAAAAACTGAGTGTTAAAATAAAAAGATGATTCAGATTACATCAATTTTTCAGTTTATTGTTACAGATTATTTTATATTCCTAGGAAATAAGTTTAATTCAAATACTTTAAGAGAAGTATTTAACTATAAATGCTATTTTCCTAGTTGTTTGAGAGCCATACGAGTGCTTCAGAAGAATGGACATGTGCCCAGTGATCCATCTCTTTTTAAATCTTACGCAGAATATGGCCACTTTGTGGACATTAGAATAGCAGCTTTGGAAGCGGTGGTTGATTACACTAAAGGTAATGCTTTAGAAATATATGCTCATATCATTTTAGAAAGAATTGTTCACTATTTAGTCATTAGGATTTTCATAGTATGTGTAATACAAATATCTTGATTTTTAATTCTTAACTCACTGATTTAGAATTTTTGGTAAATACAGAATTCATATAAGAATTTGTAAATGGGAGAAAAGAATAAAATTATAGATAAATACCTTTGGTCTTTCCAAGAAGTCTGTGTATCATTCTGTAGCCTTAATTAACATGTTATTTCAAATTATATAAGGACTCAAGAAAACATTTTGTACCTGTCAAGTTTTCTCCGTGAGAGTGTAAGAAGAGCTAAAAGTCGGGGACTTCCCCCGTGGTCCCGAGGCTGAGACCCCATGGTCCCAATGCAGGGGCCTGGCTTCCATCCCTGCTCAGGAAGCTGAGTCTCACATGCTGCAGGGAGGACCCAGCACAGCCAATAAATAAATATTGGGGAGCGGGGGAAGAGGTGTAAGTGGGAACTTCAGGAGGGGGGTTAAGCATGTCTTTGTGAAGCTAGAGAAGAAAAAAAAAGGAAAAAAGTGAATAAGCGAATATTACATATTCAGAACATTTTCAGAAATACAGAGGGGAAAGTTAAGGAGATGAAAATATTTTTTTTAAATTGTCATGAAGAATAATAGGTGGAAGAAAATAATAGATAAATTATACCCTATTATCCAAGAAATAATAGGATACTTTGAAAGAGTGTAAATGAGACTGACCTAAGCTAGAATCTGATGAAATTTAAAATTCTAAGATTAAGAAAGTCTGTAAATTTCTAACTATTCCTAGAAGTGTCAGAACCCATTTGTACAAGGTAAAAGAATAATGTAGCCTATCAATTCTTCAGAGTATAAAAAATTCAAAAGACAGTGAGCACAGGCCAACATAATGTTTAGGGAAAGTTATGATCTAAAATTCTCTGCTTTGCTCATTTGTTGTTGTTGTGTTTTTTTCTTGTTCTGCGTCCTTCTTTTTTATGTGGTATTTTTGGTGGTTTGATTTTCTGGTCTTTTTCAGTGTTTTCGTGGTTTTGGTTCATTCTTTCGATTCGGGGTGGATTTTTTTTTTCTGTGGTTGTGTCGGTTTTGCATTGCTTGGGTTGCTGATCTCTTTTTTTTCTGCCTTTTCTTTTTCGCTGTTGTGGGGGTGCTGCGACGTGATGGCTGCTGCTTTATGGCAGTGTTTTGTGGACTTCCTGGTGAATTGCTCGGTTTTTGTGGTTGTGTGATCGTGTTCTCAGGTTCTCTATTTGTTTTGCTGTGGAATTTTGTGCGATTTTCATGCTGTGGTTCTATCTGTTCTAGCCCAGCAAGCAGCTAAGCTAACCTCAGACCCCACTGATATTCCTGTGGTGTGTTTAGAATCAGATAATGGGAACATTATGATCCAGAAGCACGACGGCCTCACAGTGGCAGTGCATAAAATGGCCTCTTGACATCTCGTATCAGTTCTCCTGCACATCAGTTCTTCTGCAGCCTGTCACAGGGACTCAGTCATACATTATGTTAATTATCTCATAGAACTATTAAACCATTCATGTAATATGCAAAAAAAAAATATGCAAAAATAAGAAATGTATAAATCTAAAGTTCCAGATTATACTAAAATGTGGGGAATAAAGAAGTTATGGTAATTTTGTATCTTACTGTGTGAAGAGAGGATTGCTTACATTTTACATATTATGTAGAAGAAAATACACTCAAATCCTTACATTTTTGTGTAAATTTTATTAGGAATACTACTTCTCAAAAGAAATTGTAACAGGGTAAGAACAATATAGTGTGTGTCTTATATATGTTGACCCAAGTTTAACAAGGGCTGTCATTTGTTCTTCCTTTTTGTTGAGGGTTAAAATTTTCTTTCAAAGAATTCTGGTAAAGATAATGTTTTTTCATATATTTCTTAGCAAGAAAAAAATGTAATCCTGTGTCAGTTTTCAATTTTATTTTGACTTTTACCAATTTGTAAAATCTGGATATTCTGAGATTCACTAAATAGGCCATTATTCCCAGCCAAGGTATACAAATAATGTTCACTGTCTCATAAAGAGGAAGTTTTCATGAATTAGTACTACCTGAAATCAAGTAGAATGTTAATATTATGATTTTCAAAAGAATGCTAAATTAATAAGTATGATTTAATTGAAAGATATTTAAAGGTGTACCATAAATCCAGTTCACTAGAAGAGGAAAAGAATGGAAAATATTAGAAATTAAATTCTGAAAATAAAGGTTTTCAAATCATAAATATAATAGTTTTTAAAAAGGTAAATGGAAATAGCTAGTGAATTTTGTTAAAGTTAATTATAATACTAGTTTTACAGCTGTTTTTTATGTTGTATTGAAAAGTTAAGGCTGCTCTTAAATGGAAAAACCACTTGGGCAGCAGCAGTTTACTGTGTGATTTAATTGAGATACCACTGAATATCAAACTTCTATGATTTGAGCATCTAGAAGCATAATTCTATTTAAACACACTTCCGGTCAGAGTTATTCATCTCTGATACAGGGCTCTAATAAATTACAGTTTTGTTTTATGTTGTATTTGCCATTGAGAGCCTAAGTGGGAAATACGCTCTTGGTCCTGTTTTTTATGTTTTGACTGCACAGATAGCACAATACTTGTAAAATCTGCAAAGTAGCCTATTGCATTAAAAATGTAAGAAATTGCCTGCATCCTTCATTTCTGACTAGAAATCTGGCTAAGACGGAGTCCTAAATACTAAGTGTGAACTCCTTGTTTGTCACTTGTTTCATTTGTTATAATTAACAACAAATACATTTCCTTATTTTTATTTTCAGTGGACAGGAGTTATGAAGAATTGCAGTGGCTACTTAACATGATTCAGAATGACCCTGTACCCTATGTAAGGTTAGTTTTTTTGTGCTATAATATTTTGTTTTTATAGATCATGAAGTAAGTAATTTCAGAAAATTTTGCATGGAGTTAAGTCTTAATTTTTGAAAATATAGATAGGAGTACCTTATCCAGGTACTCATATTGTTTTTTATTTGGGTTGCCTTTGGAAAGAAAGATACTTTAAAAGATATATTGTTACTAAGTTAATTCCCTGAATTTTACACATGATTTTTTTAAAGAAAAGCTTATGTAACCCTTTTCAATACACATGGGGAAATCCCTTATGTATCAAAAAATCATAAAACCTCTTTATCAATTGATAAACTCTGTTTTAGAAGAGCAGTGTTTTGGTGTATCCCATTTGTTCCTTTTCTTACTCATAAAATCCTAATTTTTAATAAATGGATTTAGGATCAAAAAATATAATACAACATTGTTAAAAACTTAGAAAATAAGGGAAAATAAAATTCCAGTCCTGATTTAGTAACTATTTTCATTTTTGTATTCTCTTCATTTTGTTCATTTCTGCTGCTTTCTCTTGCAAAGTAGGATATTTATAGTGTATTTGAGCAGGATTACAATTTTTTTTACTATTTCTATCTTCCTTTCTTTACACCTAATAGACTCAAATTTGTGTTCATTTGTTGTAATAATTCAATTTCATAAAATGAAATTTGAAAGCTGGAAAATAATTTAGATTTTAGCCATTCCAACTAGAAACAAGAATGTAGACCTAGAAGCATTGTCTTGCTGGAGTTTGTACATCATTTGGCAGATATTTTCTTCTGGAAAGGCATACAGATACACTGTACAGATTTAACCTCACTGACATGCATCTGGATGTGAGGAACATGTAAGGAGGTTCCAGCTCCCTAATGGAGAAAGCTTTGAGCAACAGTTGTTTTTCAGGTTAGTTGTGGTAGGCTCCTGGTTAAGTCACCTTGCATTTTAAGCAATGCTTATTAAAAAATATTCTTTGCACAGAGTTTTGCTGTTTTTATTTCATGGTTCTTGATCTGTGATCTGAATTATATTTTAAATAATTTGTCCTTGGATTGATGTATATACAAAGGATCAGGTTGACGTGGACAAAAATCTCATAATCACCCATTCTGAGGTACCTATTTACATGAAAGATCACCCATTCTGAGGTACCTATTTACATGAAAGAGCGTCATCAGGAAGCCAGCCTTGTCTGTTCTCTGGTAGAGCTGACACATTAGAAAGTTTAAAAGATGCTCCTGATAGCAAGTAGGGACAGAAATTATAAACATGGCTTATCATATGTTCATTTATGTTTTCAATTCACATCAAGAACTAACATTAAGGCACATCTGAGATATCAAAACTGCATTCTGAAGACCATTTTATATAATATTTGAAGTTATATTTCTAAATTGGATACTATACAATCTGATTGCTTTTGAAATGTTGTAGAATTTTTAATATTCAAGTTTGAAGAACATTTATTTATACTGTGAGCCGAAAATCTATTTAAAGATATATTCATGATTATATTTGACATGTTTACTTCATAATTGAGACAGTTAGTTTATATCACCAGTAGGGACCCTCTTAGGCTTTACTTCGTATCATCTAGCTCATAGTGAGTTAAAAAAATTCAGCACGTCTTTAAAACGCTTTAATAGCAGTGAATGATTACAGGATAGGAGTGTTATCACATTAACGGTACTGTATGTGTGTTATTTGGTGTCTTGGGACATCCGTTGCTATATTTCTTGTGGGTTTTTTCCCCTTCTGGTTTTTATACTCTGAATGAAACTTGGTCCTTTTCTCTGTCGTCATCACCTTCTCTTTTCCTCCCTCCCTTCCTGTCTATCTCTATTGAGGTATAATTGACAGCTTCAGGCGTATAGCATATTGATTCTCTCTTTGTATATTTTGAAAAATGATCACCATCATAAGTTTAGTTAACATCCATTACCATACATAATTGCAAGTATTTTTTCTTATAAGAACTTTCAAGATCTGTTCTCTTAGCATCTTTCAAATATGCAACACAGTGTTACTAACTATAGTCACCATACTATACATTATCACCCCATGACTTATTTTATAAGATAAGTGAAGATTTGTACCCTTTGACCCCATTTACCCATGTCACCACACCCCCACCCCCACCTCTGACAACCTTCAATCTGTTCTATTATTTAAACTCACAGAGTAACCATCATATAGAACTGCTGTATTCTGCTGTAATTGGATAGGATTCTTAGTCTTAAAGATAGGCAGACATTTCTATTTCTGCTATTTCTGTCTCTCTTAACATAAGTGACATTCCTTTCTTCTGCCTCAAATATAGCATTTTATTTTTATGGCTTTTGGTTGATTTTTAAACTCCTAATAGTAAAATGGCCTTTAATAAGAATTAATTCTTTTTAAAAATACAGATTTTTAAAATTTCTCTCTTTTAACATTAAAAAATTTTTCTTTGTTATTATATATATCAGGGTTACTGATTTAGATAGATCACTAGAGTTAGATAAAGCTCTGCAGAATTTGGGGGCTGAAACCTTAAAATTTGGAGGAAAAGAAACAAATTACTTATAATTACCCCTTTATGCTTTAGAGGTAAGTTTGAACATCATTTCTGTAAGGATACTTTCCTGATTCCCTGCTCTAGGTTAGGTTCATCAAGTAATAGTTGTCCATAAAATCCTACAGTTGTTCCCTTACCCAAGTATATGCATACTACCCATGTATATAAATATTAATTTTATAGTTTAATTTTTTTTTTTTTTAGTAAAAAAAAAAAAAATTCCCCCATGGGAACATAAATTTTAAAAAGACAGAGAACTGTGTCGTTTGCCACTGCATTTAGTATGATGCTTTGTATATGATTAATATGTTAAGCAAGTGGTAGTTATGTATATTATATATTTTATTATATATGTATTATTATATATTTTCCCCTTCTAATCACATATGTTTAACTTAATTCATATGTTAAAGAAAAGTAATTTTATCTCTGTAGTAACAACTGTATGTAGAAAAAAACTCCAAGCTGTTGAATTATTTTTAAATGTTTGAGAAAGTTCTTAGTCTAAGAAGAGAGGTGATAAAATAAGATGGAGAAACTTGAGATCGTTTTCAAATGTTTTTATTTCACGGTTAGCAAAAATTTAATTTTTCCTTATCTTTCAGACATAAAATTCTAAATATGTTGACTAAAAACCCACCCTTTACTAAGAGCATGGAGTCTCCCTTATGCAATGAAGCTTTGGTAGATCAACTTTGGAAACTTATGAATTCTGGTAAGAGAGCAGTGGCCTTTTTTTTTTTTTTTTTTTTAAGGAGACTACTTACCATACTTGGCTTCACAGTGGTGGCTGCGATAACATTTGCTAAGGGCATAGCCACTCACTTTGCCCCACAGGGTAGTTGAGGAAACAAAATTGCTAATTTAGTGAAAGTGTCTCAGATGTTTAAAGAGCTGTAAACATGAACTTGCACAGTATTACGCTTGTTTTTATTTCAGAAGTTTACAGAGGGTTGAAAAATAAGTCTTTCTCTTTTCGCTAGTCCTCCTAGTGGCCTTTCCCAGAGGTAACCAATTCCTTACGTATCCTTTTCAGGGCGGTATGTAATGTTAGCATTCTGCACCTTGGAGGTCATGGTGTCTCACCATCACAGTTTTACTTTACATCATCTGAGTGAGGTGCGGAGGCAGTCAGTGCTCCCAGGCCTGAGCTCTGAAATCAGTTTGCTGAGGGTTAAACCTCAGCTGAATGCCTTGCTCTCAGTGTGATTTGTCTAAGCCTATGATTTTCTCATTTTTAAAATAGAGTTATGATGATAGCTACTTCTGCAAACTGAAAATTAAATGAGTTATTATTTGTAAAATGCAGTGACTAGTTCATATTAAGTGCTCAGAAAGGTTGTTACGCTAACATACTGATGATATTACGTTGAGTACTTCTCATATATGTGAGCTATCTGTAGTTCCTATTTTGTAAATTGTTCATATTCTCTGACATTCTTGTTTAATTGAATTGCTAATCTTTTCCTGTAGGGTTGTAACTGTAATATATATGTAGAGAAAATTTGCCTTATGTCTCCGATATGTTGAAATTGTAATATTGGTTTTGATTTAAAATTCAATCTAAAGCTAGACTGAAAGTGTTTGGCTTAGAGATGAGTTGCTACAGACAGATGGTGAGGGAGCAGTGGGTATTCATTGTCATAAATATGTCACTTTACCTTCTCTCTAAAGTATTGGAAGATAACTTGTTTGCTTATCTCAGTAGTGACTACTTCACTGAATCCCACCTAAATAACAAGTTCTGATTCTTTTTCAAAAATTATTTAATTTACTAACATTGAGATGTTAAGCAGTTGTGTGACTTCTGTCCCTCAGTTTCATAATCATAGTACAATACCCCCAAGTAAAGGCACCATAGTAGATATTTCACTGAAATATAATAAAATTGAAAATAAAATGGCCCTTGTCCTCAAAATCTTTACAAAATAGCACATAACCCAGTTTATATCAATATTGCCAAATTATTATTCTCATGTTTTCCCTAGTACCTAGAAGAATGATTGCTGGTGTTTACATGATGTTCTATATTTTGCTGCTTGTGGTTACCTAAAAGAATGTTATGATTACTGTCATTTAGATCCAAGAAATGAGCACACAAGTTCATAAATTTTTAAAGGATCATTCAGCAGTTAATATGTGGCATGAACTGTACTGTGTTGAATATATTCTTAGCAAGAACGCTTGATTCCATGATTGCGATGGAGTACAACTGCACAGAAAGTCATAATGAAGTACGGAGAAGTTGCACATCACTTCTTAGGGAAGATCTCATGGGCACAATAAATGTGTGTTTAAAATTAATGGGACAATCTCTGTTAAAACGTTTGAACTCCACTGGAAGATTGTGGTTGTACAAATTGAAGCTCTGATTGATGTTTAGTATTTATTTTTGTTAGTGTTCAAAATAAAGCGCAGTTACTGCTTCGGTTTGGAATTCTCTGTGCTAATAATCTAAACAGAACAGATCAGTGAAGCCATCGGCATAAACAGTTCTCTACTCTTGTTCTTCAGATCTATAAATAAATGGGAACAGAACAATATGAACAGTAGGAGTGGCTCAAATAATTGAGAAGGTTTTTGGTTTTCTTTTTAATGTTTTTGGAGAACATTGAGCATTAGACAGGGAAGATTGATTAGAGGATTGCCTGAGACAGTTCCTGGTTTTTACCCTCAGCTGCAGCATTCTGAAGACTTATTTAATCTGCCAGCTGCCCCTCCCAGCTCAGTCACGTAAATGGCAAGGAACACTCATGTATGCCACCCCCGCGCCAAGAAAAGAGTCGTAATCCTTTCCCCTCATAGCAGTGCTGGCCTTGGGTTCTCATTTGCAGTTATGCTTTGGGACCAGCCCTGCCTCCCAGTCAGAAAGGCAGTGCTCAGGGCCGATGGTCTCTGCTCAAATCAGAAAGTATCTGAAGACAAATCCCTCAGATAACAAATCTGATCTTAGGAAAGATCATTCTTTCATTATCTGAGGTGGTTGCTTTTAAAGCTGATCGAGGCACCATTTTCAGGGCATTTTTCTTTTCCTTGGTTGTGCTTGGAAATCTTGATTCCCCGACAAGGGTTTGAGCCCATGACCCCTGCAGTGGAAGCTTAGAGTGCTAACCACTGGACAGTCAGGGAAGTCCCAAGGACATTTTGCAGTAAACTCGTCACTCTGTTTCGATGACAGAAGCTTAGAATGTGTACAGCTAGGCTTCACAAGCATGACTGCCATGTGGTTAGTTCTGTCCTGATCTTCCTGTTCATCTTTTCTGACTCTGCCACTTAATGCCACTGTCAAGTGACAACCATTTTAAGATTTTATTCCATGGTTTTGAAATACAGTGTTCTCATTTTTTTGTTTTATAATTTTAACAGAAGCACTGCTTATTTTTTAGCTCCATCCTATCAGCCTTAAGTTGTAATATTTATAACTCAGGTTTTTGAGGAGGGGGAAAACAGTCAAGGTCCTCTCTTAAGAATAGAATAATGCTGCTTCCTCCATCCAAATTGCAGACCTGCTGAAACCTTTACCAATCCAAACCCAAAGCCCACACAGAAATACAAAGTAACAGCACGCCTGCTCTAGGGACTGGGGACTTTAGCGGCCTTCATGGCCTGTGCCACCTCACGGTCCTTAGCGGACCTTCAGGGCACAGGACACCCTAGCTCACCAGAATATACATTTCCCACCTGCTTTTTAAAGCTGAGATAATGCTTTTTTAAAAAAAAACTTTTTAAGAGTTCATACTCAGTTGCCTGACTGGTTTTGATTTCATCTACAGTATGTAAAGATTCCATAATCATTATTTGCAGTTGACATAATTGGGCAGTACTCACCTTCAAGGTTTAGTCTTATTCCAGTCGTAAATGCACCCTAAGCCCTTCTGGCTTCTTTACTGATAGAGTGTCTGGGATGGGCATCTTTTCCTGCGCTACCCGAGTGGTGGACACGGCGGGCTCGCTGTCTCGGCAGCCTTCATTCCATTCTTTAGAGGGCTGAGTCCCTCCAGCCGCTGTGATGAAGGTCCAGGAGTCCGACCCCTGTCCTCTGTGGAGCCTTTCCATGTGTGAAAAGCATTGAGGAGGAGAGTAACGAGGGCCCCCAAAACACTGGGCAATTTCAGTCCATTAAAGTGTCCAGGTACGGATATTCCAGAGAAGGAAATGGATTTCCAGTGTAAAATCCTTACCTTCACTCTGTACTGTTCCCATTTCTGGTTTCTCTGTAGTTTTTATGATATAAAAACTCATGCTTCTCAGAGCTCCTGCTGCTTCCTCTTGCTTCCAGCAGTATTGTGTATCTGTTGTTCCCTTATCACGTAGTAGCAAAATTGAAGATGTCTCAAGTAAGACTGAGAGCTGTTTCATGATGCGCCAAGTGCCTAATACAGAGCAGTATATGTAGTATGAACTCTGTAAAATTGTAATCCTCTGACAGTTGAAAATCCATGTGGATTTTCTTTGCATATAGTTCATATAACAGTTACTTACCTGTTCCAGTTGTTGTTTAGCTGCTAAATCATGTCCGACTGTTTTGCCATCTCACAGACTACAGCCCACCAGGCTCCTCTGTCCATGAAATTCTCCAGGCCAGAATACTGGAGTGGGTTGCCATTCCCTTCTCCAGGGGATCTTCCCAACCCAGGGATCGAACCCAGGTCTCCTGAATTGCAGGCAGATTATCATCTGAGCCACCAGGAAAGCCCAATATAAGTCTTAATACTCCAAAAATAGTATTTTTTTTTTTCTGGCTTTAAATCTTCCTTTTAATTCTTCCTCCTCGGTTGACTGCTCCACATCCATTCATTCCCTGTTCCCTTTGTCCGATTTTCTTCTTTAATAGCATGCTGGGGAGATGGCACACCAAGAGCCTCGTGAACCCCACCCCGGAAACAAACTTGAATGCTCAGATTTATTACTTTGAGATTCTGAGTATGGTAGGTGTCTAATTTTTATTTCGTAGGAGAATGAAATAGATTTTTTCAGTTGTAAGATTCATTGTTTCCTTAGGACATTCGTGGTTTCTGTGACAGTGTGGAGGTACCTGGTGTTAGGGTAGGAAGCATCTTCACAGCAGAGGGCTTGCCCCCGGGGCCCAGGTCAGTAGGCGGCCCCTCTTCGCCGTCCTGATCTTCTTCCCTTGCCTTGGTGCAGCCTCCGGGCGTGTGGAGATGTGTGGGTGGATGTGCACTCTGACCTGGTGTCCCTGTTGCTTGCCCCTAGGCGCGGCACACGACTGGAGGCTGCGGTGTGGCGCTGTGGACCTGTATGTCACGCTCTTTGGCCTCAGCAGACCTTCCTGCTTGCCCTTGCCAGAACTTGGCTTGGTCCTTAATCTGAAAGAGAAAAAAGCTGTCTTGAATCCAACCATCATTCCAGAGGCCATAGCAGGCAACCAAGAAGCTGCAGTGAATCCAAGTAGTCACGCACAGCTAGTTGGATTCCAGAACCCTGTAAGAATCACACGTGATATGGAAAAAGTATCAATAGTTTTATTATTTAGAGCTCCGAAGAAGAGAATTATTTCTTTAGAACTAGTGGATTTTAGAGCCACTAACAGCTTCTCGCACCATTTTAAAAAAGTGCTGGCTGACATTGTCTTGGCACTTTGCAGTTTCTGAAGTGCTGCTGACAGCTGTGATGGCGACGCGACAGGTGCTGAGATGCCAGTCCACTTACCCCTCTTGTGGTGGCAGTGACTTTCTGTGCCTGAGCGTAAAATGTCTCCTTGGCGTAGTAGAAAATTGAACATGTAACCAATTACGTATTAACTGAACTTGTCTGTACACTGTAATGGCAGGCTGTCTTGAACACAGGACCTTGACTTTTCTCTTTTTTTGCTACTTTGCATTAATAGCATCATTCCAAACCTATGAAAAGTGCCTGACAACTGCTTATTGAATCATTAGTAAATAATTAGATAATAATGAGTGGTCTGGTGAACATGTAATCTGCTGATTGGGGGAGGAGAAATGCATTATTTTTTTTTAGTTTATGTATATGTGTATGTATTTGCTTTTAAAAAAACTTTTATTTGTTTTTTTAAAGTTTCATTGTGAAATTATGAAACTTTATTGTAGAAAGACCTTCAGGATCCATATCAATTAATTTACTATAATTTAAAGAAAGTTTCCCAGAAGTGTCTTGCTCATTGTTGACACAAGATCCCCAGTGCTTCAAGCTTCATTTTTCACCAATATTTAGACCAGATTACTTGCCTGGCAATACCCTACTGGTGTTTTGACACTTTAAAACTTAAATTTCTCTTTATGCTAGTTAGTAATAGTCATTTAAAAGAAATTATTCACCTAGGTTTTCTGAAATATAATCATACTTATTTGTTGTAAATTTAAGATGTATCCTAGAGTTCGGGTTATGAAGAAGTAAGACAAATCTTTTCATAGGGAAAAAAGGTCTCATTAAAGAGCTCTTTTAAAATCTGACTATTTATAAGCCAGTGGAAATGAATATGTTTATAATTCTTGTCCATATATGTTGATTTATCCACTTTCATACTTGGAGTCTTCAGGATAAGAGGAGAAAATGACACCAAAAGGTATATGCTTTGGGGAAAGTTTTTAAAGTTCCCTTTAATATCTCCCTTCTCCTCCCAGAAAGACCAGCAGATAGGAGAGAATGAGGTTCATCTAGAGCCCATTGCTGATAACTTTGAGGCACTGGGCATGTTCTAATGTGCATGGTTGCTGTAGGTCTTAGTTTTCAGCTATAACGTGAGCTACTTGTCTTCAGGAATCTAATTTTGATCTTGAATATTGCCACAGGAAGATGATCACCTTGCCAAGGAAGCCTCATGTAATATGTCAGCTCATCAGCAGGGAGTGAAGAGGAAGGCTGACACACCACTGGGGTCCCCACTAGAGCCTGGTCAAATACTGGAGAAGAATGAGGATAGCAGTAAAGTCAGACTCAAAATCAGAGTAAGACATGCAGGCTCCACCTGTGTGAGCAGCATAGGGCGCTCACCTGCCTGGCACCTCGTGACCACTCACTGTGGTCTTCCCGCAGCAGGACAGATGGGGCAGCCCCACCCGTCAAAGGACGCCAGTGTCCGCCTCAGACACGCCGGCGATGCTCAGACTCCTGTTCCCACACGCCGCTCCTGTCTGTGTGCACCGCCCACACAGCACACTGCTGTCGCCACGCGTGGGGCAGACCCCAGCCACTGTCACACTCCAGTGGCTCCCAGGCAGCTGCTTCTGGAGGCTGGGCCACGTCATCTTCTCTTTCTCCTAATGCTTTTTGAGAAGAGGACTACTTTTCCTTTTCAATGATTTGGGGCTATGTCCTGTGGCTTTTCTGTTACCTTTCCTGAGAGCAAAAATCCAGGCACAAAGTGATATAATGGCTTCTTTCTTGCTTTGTTTTGTTTGTCTTACAGTTTTCAAGTTCTCAAGACGAGGAAGAGATTGATATGGATACTGTTCATGATAGCCAGGCATTCATTTCCCATCATTTAAACATGCTTGAAAGGCCATCAACTCCAGGTAAGATGCTGTCCTGCATCCACTGGGGTGATGGAGAGAGTTCGCATGATATCACTGTTGGAAGGTGTGTTTGCTTTATTGTCAAGAGAATAGCTATGAAGTTTAGAGTTAGCCAGTATAAAATACTAGATTGTATCAGATAACACGTATCAGCAAAGGGATAAATTTTTTTTTAAGTATTTCTTTTGATTTTTTACTTTGTTTTGGTTCTTTTTAAATATTTGGCTTGCTTCTAGATTTGTTTTTTCAAAAATCCATTCATCAGATTCCTTCCAGTAGCTTTAATTTCTGTTTTTTTGTTTCTTTGTTTTTTGAAGTTTAGACTTAACCTCAAAATAAAATAAGAGGTCTGTTTTTTTTAAATAATGTAACTATAATTATATATGCAACTTCTTGACTACAACTAATGCAGCCCGTAATGCAACTAGTTTCTCTTCTTGACTGCTTGTTCCATGTAATATGTCATGTTATAGATTTTTACATACACCTCTCAAACATCCTAATCTTTTCCATTGAAAATATTACCTGAGACAGTATTGAGTTGATAAACTTTAATTTACCTTATTATTTCCCTGTGGGCAGGCATTTGTTTCTGATTTTAATTTTATGCAAGTAATTCTCTCTTGAGTGTCTTCATACAGAAGCTTCTGTTTCTTTTTTTGTCAAATTCTTAGGATAAATCCCTTAAAATATATTTTTGGTAAAAAGATTAATTTTAGCTTTATTTTAAGATACTTATCTTTAGAAGATTTTCATACTCTTGGTGTTACTGCCATAATGCTTTTTGAAGAGATCATACCTAGTTCATATGATCAGCAGTTTTCAGAAGTGAAGCTTTGGTATGACTTGCTTGTAGTTGTGAAATATAGTAATAAAGCAGGTCTTGGTGAACCTGCCCCCCACCCTTAACCTGTGTAGCGTTCTCCATTCTGTGGCCGTTCTCACTGTGCTTCCCTCCCTATTCTGTTCACCTCTCTGCCTTGCGAGTAAATGGTGTCTCAGCTGTTTTTTCTTCAGCATTCTGTTGCTTTTCTTTACAGTGTACCACACAGATATATGATCTATATGTTTACTTTGCCTTTAGTTTTTGAATTATGTGAAAACTGTGTGATACTCAATATGACTTGGCTTTTTTTCACTCAACGTTATGCTGCTGAAATTCACCCATGTTGATACATGAAGATGTAATTCATCAGTATTTATCATCATGCTTTGTACTTCATATACTGTTTTATTGTCATTGTGATAACTTAAAGGATACTTAACTATAATTACCATTTTAAATGATTATTAATTATGATTATCATTATAATTCAAGTTTATATTTCTTTAATTATGAATATGGCTTTTTTTGTTGTTGTTAGGAGTAGGTACTATTCCTGATTCCTGTTTCTTTTTACTGGAAAATCCTGTTTATAATTCATGCTGGATGTGGTTATCTTTCATGATCTTTGTGTTTGAATGGGTTTTTTTTAAGCATGTTATATTTGTGCACCTCTCCCTTACCCACCTTGGTATGCTTTTTGTTTGGCTTTTTGTTTAGTTTTGTTTGTAAGATCTAAATTACTTTTTACTATCTAGTAATCTGGGATGAACTAGTAGAATTTAAGAATTGGCAACAAAGAGAATATGAACCTAATTATATTTGAAAACTGAAAGGTCATAAATTCTTTGGCTTTCATAATCATAAGCAGCCTTAACAATTATTTTTCTATTCTGTCAATTTTATGGATAAGTAAATTTAAGCAGAGATATATGAAATACTTTGCCCTCAATGACACACCCTAGTAATAGCCACCTCAGTGCTAGATCCAAATCGTAGACTTTTCCATGTGACAAATGAAAATGAGACACAAAGAAAGAAATGTCTTACCTGGACTGTGTATTTAACTTGTGGATGATTTGGCATTAGAACCTGGGTCTCCTGATACAACAGTGCTCTTCATGTTTTACCATTACAACGTTTCATGTTTTAAATATGTTCTATAATCCCTAAATTATTTTGATCTGTTAGTTAAATATTGTAATGGAATTTATTAATAAATTTTGGGGAGAAAACAGCCATGCTTAACTGTATGCAAAGTTCCACATAAATAATAAAAAACATGACATGACATGGTTCTCCAGAATATAGACTCCAGTTTATGTATTCAGCAGTTCAGTCAGGTGAACTGTCTTTCTTGAATGTTTATTTTTCTCAGACTTAAGTATATTGGAACCATGACAAAGGATTAAATCAAATGGGCTCTTCAGTGGTTTTAAAAAATAGTATTCTTTTTATTATTAGAGTTTTACTGTTGAACTGATACTGGTTTTAAGGTAGACTGTTTTCTTCTTTTGGGAAGTAAATAAATCCCCAGTTTTCCTCTTTTTGCATCTTAGGGCTCTCCAAATATCGGCCAGCTAACTCGAGATCTGCTCTGATACCCCAGCACTCCGCAGGCTGTGATGGCGCGCCCACCACGAAGCCCCAGTGGAACATGGAACTCCCACGGAAGGGAGCAGGTAAAGCACTGTTACTGTATTCTTGTTACTTTGCTCAAGAACAAATCTATAAACTTCATAAAGTTTCTTTATCAACGTAAAGAATACATTAGAAACTATAGATCTGAGGACTTGCTTTTCATTATTATCTAACAGACTTCTTTTTTCAAATATAAGCTGCATATATATTTTTTTGAATTACTTTTGATTCATAGTGTTGTGTTAGCTTCAAGGACGTGCAGCACAGTGATTCTGTTCCACATACATATGTTCTTTTTCAGATTATGTGGGTTATTACAGAGGGCTGGGTGTCGCTCACTGTGCCATATATACAGTAGGTCCTCGCTGGCCACCTCTTTTCTGTGTAACAGTGCATCTGTGCTAATCCCAAGCTCCTAGCTTACGCCTTCCCCCGTTTCCCCTGTGGTAACTGCAGGTTTGTTTTCTGTGTCTGTGGGTCTGTTTCTGTCCTGTAAATAAGTTCGTTGGGGTGTGTGTGTATATATAGCACGTATAGAGAACGCCATGTGATATCTGTCTTTCTCTGGCCTTCTTGCTCAGTGTGATCATCTCTAGGGCCTCCACGTTGCTGCAGCTGGCATTATTTTGTTCTTTTTTTATGGCTGAGTAATAGTTGATTGTAGTCCACATCTTTATCCATTCATTTGTCGCTGGATATTTAGGTTGCTTCCGTGTCCTGCCATTGTAAATAGTGTTGCTAATGAACACTGGAGTGCATGTATCTTTTGGAATTATGTTTTTCTGCAAATATATGCCCAGGAGTGGGATTGCTGAATCATGGTAACTCTGTATTTAGTTTTCTAAGGAACCTCCGTACTGTTCTCCATAGTAGTTCTACTAATTTATATTCTCATCAGTACTGTGGAAGGGTTCTTTTTTCTCCACACCCTCTCTAGCATTTAATGTATGTACACTTTTGATGATGGTTATTTCAACTGGAGTGGGGTGATAACCTCATTTTAGTTTTGATTTACATGTCTCTAATAATTAGTGATGTTGAGCATTGTTCGTGTGCCTGTTGGCCATCTGTATGTCTTTTTTGCACAGGTGTCTGTCTAGATTTTATGCCCAGTTTTTTAATTGTATTGTTTGTTTTTTTGACACTGAGCTATGTGAGCTGTTTGTATATTTGGGAAATCAATCCCTTGTCAGTCACATAGTTTGCAAATATTGTCTCCCATTCTGTAGGTTATTGTTTCATTTGCTGTGCAAAAGCTTTTAAGTTTAAGTCCCATTTGTTTATTTTTGTTTTTATTTCCATTACTCAAGGAAAGGATACAAAAAGATATTGCTGTGATTTATGTCATAGTGTTTTCTGTCTAGGATCATTCTATTGTTTTCTTCGAGTTTTGTAGTATCTGGTCTTGCATTTAGATCCTTAATCCATTTTGAGTTTGCTGTTGTATTTGGTGTTAGAGAATGGTTTAATTTCATTCTTTTATAGGGAGCTGCCCAGTTTTCTCAGCACCACTTATTGGAAAGACTATCTTTTCTCCATTGTATATTCTGGCCTCCTTTGTCATAGGTTAATTGACCATAGGCGCAAGGGTTTATTTCTGGACTTTTATCCTGTTCCATTGATTTGTATTTCTGTCTTTGTGCCAGTACCATACTATTTTGTTTACTGTGGTTTTCGAGTATAGTCTGAAGTCACAGAGCCTGATTTCTCCAGCTTCATATTTCTTCCTTAAAATTGCTTTGACTTAAAGACTTTTTTTTTCTTCTTTAAGAATTTTTATAATAAAAAAAAAAAGAATTTTTTTTCATTTATTTTTATTAGTTGGAGGCTAATTACTTTACAATATTTTAAAGACTTTTAAATTACACTTTTTGCTATTTCAAAAGTAATATTCTCCTATTATATAAAACTTTGAAATCTTAGAAAAGAGCGGGAAAAATTTGCCCCCGATTATGCCTTTTCAGCTCAGTTCAGTTCAGTCACTCAGTCGTTTCCAACTCTTTGCAGCCCCATGGTCTGCAGCACGCCAGGCCTCCCTGTCCATCACCAACTCCCAAGAGTCTACCCAAACTCATGTCCATCCAATCAGTGATGCCATCCAACCATCTCATCCTCTGACATCCCCTTCTCTTCCCACCTTCAATCTTTCCCAGCATCAGGGTCTTTTCAAATGAGTCAGCTCTTCGCATTAAGTGGCCAAAGTATTGGAGTTTCAGCTTCAACATCAGTCCTTCCAATGAACACCCAGGACTCATCTCCTTTAGGATGGACTGGTTGGACCTCCTTGCAGTCCAAGGGACTCTCAGGAGTCTTCTCCAACACCACAGTTCAAAAGCATCAATTCTTCAGCACTCAGTCTTCTTTATACTCCAACTCTCACATCCATACATGACCACTGGAAAAACCATAGCTTTGACTTTGTTGGCAAAGTAATGTCTCTGCTTTTTAATATGCTGTCTAGTTTGGTCATAACTTTCCTTCCAAGGAGTAAGCGTCTTTTAATATCATGGCTGCAGTCACCATCTGCAGTGATTTTGGAGCCCAAAAAAATAAAGTCAGCCACTGTTTCCACTGTTTCCCCATCTATTTGCCATGAAGTGATGGGACCAGTTGCCATGATCTTAGTTTTCTGAATGTTGAGCTTAAAGCTTTTTCACTCTCCTCTTTCACTTTCATCAAGAGGCTCTTTAGTTCTTCTTCACTTTCTGCCATAAGGGTGGTGTCATCTGCATATCTGAGGTTATTGATATTTCTCCCGGCAATCTTGATTCCAGCTTGTGCTTCATCCAGCCCAGCATTTCTCATGATGTACTCTGCATATAAGTTAAATAAGCAGGGTGACAATATACAGCCTTGACGTACTCCTTTTCCTATTTGGAACCAGTCTGTTGTTCCATGTCCAGTTCTAACTGTTGCTTCCTGACCTGCATACAGGTTTCTCAAGAGGCAGGTCAGGTGGTCTGGTATTCCCATCTCTTTCAGAATTTTCCACAGTTTATTGTGATCCACACAGTCAAAGGCTTTGGCATAGTCAATAAAGCAGAAATAGATGTTTTTCTGGAACTCTCTTGCTTTTTCGATGATCCAGCGGATGTTGGCAATTTGATCTCTGGTTCCTCTGCCTTTTCTAAAACCAGCTTGAACATCTGGAAGTTCACGGTTCACGTATTGCTGAAGCCTGGCTTGGAGAATTTTGAGCATTACTTTACTAGCGTGTGAGATGAGTGCAATTGTGCGGTAGTTTGAGCATTCTTTGGCATTGCCTTTCTTTGGGATTGGAATGAAAACTGACCTTTTCCAGTCCTGTGGCCACTGCTGAGTTTTCCAAATTTGCTGGCATATTGAGTGCAGCACTTTCACAGCATCATCTTTCAGGATTTGAAATAGCTCAACTGGAATTCCATCACCTCCACTAGCTTTGTTCATAGTGATGCTTCCTAAGGCCCACTTGACTTCACATTCGAGGATGTCTGGCTCTAAGTGAGTGATCACACCATCATGATTATCTGGGTCATGAAGATCTTTTTTGTACAGTGCTTCTGTGTATCCTTGCCACCTCTTCTTAATATCTTCTGCTTCTGTTAGGTCCATACCATTTCCATCCTTTATTGTGCCCATCTTTGCATGAAATGTTCCCTTGATAGCTCTAATTTTCTTGAAGAGATCTCTAGTCTTTCCCATTCGTTGTTTTCCTCTATTTCTTTGCATTGATCACTAAGGAAGGCTTTCTTATCTCTCCTTGCTACTCTTTGGAACTCTGCATTCAAATGGGAATATCTTATCTTTTCTCCTTAGCTTTTCGCTTCTCTTCTTTTCACAGCCATTTATAAGGCCTCCTCAGACAACCATTTTGCCTTTTTGCATTTCTTTTCCATGTGGATGGTCTTGATCCCTGTCTCGTGTACAATGTTATGAACCTCTTGTCCATAGTTCATCAGGCACTCTATCAGATCTAGTCCCTTAAATATATTCCCCATTTCCACTGTATAGTCATAAGGAATTTGATTTAGGTCATACCTGAATGGTCTAGTGATTTTCCCTACTTCCTTCAGTTTAAGTCTGAATTTGGCAATAAGGAGTTCATGATCTGAGCCACAGTCAGCTCCCGGTCTTGTTTTTGCTGACTGTATAGAGCTTCTCCATCTTTGGCTGCAAAGAATATAATCAATCTGATTTAGGTGTTGACCATCTGGTGATGTCCATGTTTAGAGTCTTGTGTTGTTGGAAGAGGGTGTTTGCTATAACTAGTGCATTCTTTTAGCAAAACTCTGTTAGCCTTTGCCCTGCTTCATTCTGCACTCCAAGGCCAAATTTGCCTGTTACTCCAGGTGTTTCTTGACTTACTACTTTTGCATTCCAGTCCCCTACAATGAAAAGCATATCTTTTTTGGGTGTTAGTTCTAAAAGGTCTTGTAGGTCTTCATAGAACATTCAACTTCAGCTTCTTCAGGGTACTGGTCGGGGCATAGACTTGGATTACCGTGATATTGAATGGTTTGCCTTGGAAACAAACAGAGATCATTGTATCATTTTTGAGATGGCATCTAAGTACTGCATTTCGGATTCTTTTGTTGACTATCATGGCTACTCCATTTCTTTTAAGGGATTCCTTCCCACAGTAGTAGATATAATGGTCATCTGAGTTAAATTCACCCATTCCAGTCTATTTTAGCTCTCCGATTCCTAAAGTGTCGACGTTCACTCTTGCCATCTCCTGTTTGACCAGTTCCAATTTGCCTTGATTCATGGACCTAACGTTCCAGGTTCCTATGCAATATTGCTCTTTACAGCATCAGACCTTGCTTTCATCACCAGTCACATCCACAGCTGGGTGTTGTTTTTGCTTTGGCTACATCCCTTCATTCTTTCTGGAGTTATTTCTCCACTGATCTCCAGTAGCATATTGGGCACCTCCTGACCTGAGGAGTCCGTCTTTCAGGGTCCTATCTTTTTGCCTTTTCATACTGTTCATGGGGTTCTCAAGGCAGGAATACTGAAGTGGTTTTCCATTCCTTTCTCCGTGAACCAGATTCTGTCAGACCTCTCCACCATGATCCGTCTGTCTTGGGTGGCCCTACAGGGCATGGCTCATAGTTTCATTGAGTTAGACAAGGCTGTGATCCCTGTGATCAGACTGGCCGGTTGTGTGTGATTGTGGTTTCTGTCTGCCTCCCGTCTGATGCCCTCTCTCAGCACCTACCGTCTCACTGGGGTGTCTCTGACCTCGGGCATGGGGTAGCTCCTCTCGGCCGCTTGCCACTCCAGCACTGCGTTAGGCCGTTTAAAGATACCTGTTAGGTAACATTTTACTCCTTCCTTGCAGTGCTTTTTCTAAGAATATTTCAATTTGAAAAATGTGAGCTTCCCTAGGAACTATCAAATCTATACCTTTATACTTTTATAAGCTAGTCAACTTATTTCTCCGCTCACCCTCCCCATGGCAGTTTTTACAGTTGATCATTCATGGTCAGTCATGAAGACTTGATGCTATATATACCTAGAGGACTAACATATTTGTCTTTTGAATTATTTCACACTTATTGGACTTAGGTTTACGAGAGAATTCTGTTCAGATGTGATTGTTACCTAATCTGACTGTTTTACATTGTCTTCTGTTTACTCTGTTCTTTTTCTTACAAAGTGAAGATTGTCTTCCAGATAGAGAGTAAACCAGTGGTGCTGAGGAACAGAGACTCAGCCTTCAAAGTTTGGAGGGACAGGGAGTGAAAGACAAGATACATAAGCAAAATCATTTTTAAAGAATAGTGTTTCCAGAAGTCATTAGTCAGGCTTTCCAGTGCCAACTGATGGATTTTGCTTACATAAACCGTGTTTTTATCCTACAAACAGAAGAGTAACTGTGTGTTGCCTCGAGGAGTGTAGGGAGCAGCTGTGACGAGTGGGAGACTTTGAGCAGAAGCAGCGCCTCGAAGCACTGTGGCGTCTGCGGCCTCAGCCCGCTGGCTGCTCCGTCTCTCCGTTTGCAACAGTTTCTCAGAAAATTTATTTCAGAAGGAAGTCAGCTGGAACCGTTAGCACTTAACTTTAGTAAATGAATCTTGACATTTCTCGGCCCTCCCTTGCCAATTTTGTATTCTCTGGTTTTGTTTTGGGGTTTGGAGTAATTTTGCTTTATTATTCTTATACTTATTAAGATTCTATCAGACATGAAAATTTTTCTACATCTTTTAAAATGATAACGCTTAGGGCATTTCAAACCTCAATCTGATATAATTGGAGAGTGACACTTCCACCTACCTTCCATGCCTTTAAAAAAATAAATTCTAATAAATTCTTATTCTAGTGAAAAATCTGAGTATGTTAGTTTGGTTTTTCATAGTGATAATGGCATACTAGCCTATGTATAGAAGCAAATCTTAACACCATTTTGTGTCCACCAGTGTGCTTTTGTATCATTGTTTTATATTGCTTTTAAAAATACATTTTCACTTTTTTTGGAATGTCTTTACAGTTTTAGTTCTTATTGCATCGTCTGGGAGGACTGGAGAGGATATAAGGGCATGGTGGTGAAGGGCAGGAAAGCATTAACATTTTGGCCTTGGTTGCTTCGGTGTAGGCTCCTTTTATGTCACCAGTGTATTATGTGGACTGATCTGTAAAACTTAATTTTGAATATATTCTTTAATTTGCCTTTGTAATTTTCCTTAAATATATTTATGCTGTAGCCTGTGACCACTGAAATGGTTAGTTGTTCAGTCATGATTGATTCTTTGCAACCCCATGGGCTGTAGCTTGCCAGGCTCCTCTGTCCATGGAATTCTTAAGGCAAGAATAATGGAGTCAGTAGCCGTTACCTCCTTCGGGGAGTCTTCCTGACCCAGGATTCAAACCAGGGTCTCCTGCAACTCAGGCAGATTCTTTACCATCTGAGCCACCAGGGAAGCCCCAGTGACCGCTGAGCAAGTCTTAAAATTCATCAATGACGTTATTAGAATTTAGAAAACGTTCATACTACAAATGATAGTGTTCCAAAAGTTTAACTCGTATTTGTATTTTACTTTGGAATTCTGAAAACAGGTTTCTAGTAGACATGTTGTTGTATTTGATAGGTAACTTTCCCAAACTAGCCAACAAAATCCCTTTTTAATTTACACTATGTATGGATGTGAACGTTGGACTGTGAAGAAAGTTGAGCTCTGAAGAATTGATGCTTTTGAACTGTGGTGTTGGAGAAGACTCTTGAGAGTCCCTTGGACTGCAAGGAGATCCAACCAATCCATCCTAAAGGAGATCAGTCCTGGGTGCTCATTGGAAGGGCTTATGCTGAAGCTGAAACTCCAGTATTTTGGCCACCTCATGCGAAGAGTTGACTCATTGGAAAAGACCCTGATGCTGGGAAAGATTGAGGGCAGGAGGAGAAGGGGACGACAGAGGATGAGATGGCTGGATGGCATCACCGACTCAATGGGCATGAGTTTGAGTAAACTCCGGGAGTTGGTGATGGACAGGGAGGCCTGGCGTGCTGCGAGATTCATGGGGTCACAGAGAGTCGGAAACTACTGAGCGACTGAACTGCCCAACAGAGAAGAATAGAAGTATCAAGCCCTTCCGCTGTCTGTAACAGTGTTTCTAAGAGAAAGGGCACTAGAGCTCTGTATTTTGGAATGTGAGAAGCACAGCTTTAACCCAACCAAATGATGATGGAAGTAAAAGAGGAACAGAAGCTGGGGGTCTCCTGCTGTGGTAGCGACTTTGGCCTGGGGTTGAGAGTTGGGGGTTCTGGCGAGGAGGCTCAGTGGTGGTGAGGGGCACTGGGAGCGCTCTTAAATCTCTGGTGATTCTAGATTAAAGCTGTTTGGTGAGTTCAGCCATTTGGGGTAAGAAGAGAGGAGCAGCAGGAGTGTTCTCCATCATTTAACTCGACCTTCTCCCGAGCTGGAGAAGGGACTCGGAGGAGGGCTGCTTGGCTGGGTACATGGTGTGCACCCCTCCTCTCCCCTCCCCTCCCCTCCCCTCCCCTCCCATCCGGCCCGGCCCGCGCTGGGAGCAGGGGCAGAAGTGACTGTAGGGAAGGGGAGGAGCAGAGCTCCTGCAGTGCTGAGAAGAGCTTGCTGGTTATGTAACAGCTTCTTGCACAAGTCAGAAAGGCACTGTCCTGGTATGGAAATCCTTTTTTTGAAACAAGAAAAAGAGGCTAACTCTAGCCTCTTCTTTCAGAAGAAAGAACTCTCTTTCTTCTGAAACTAAAAAAAGACTTGGATTTTTTTCTTTAAATTATAATGATACAATTCTACAGTCTTTTAAATTTGAAGAGCCGGAAGAACAGACTTCAGACTTTTCCTAACAGAAACTGCAGGTTTTGTGTTATGCCTATGTGACGAATTTAGTGGAATTAGCGGGTTACTCACTGTTATAAGCACTTTATCAAATGGGCTGGAAAGCTTCCACATTAGGTTTGTCTCAAACACCTCTTCCTGTTTGTTTTGCATTTGCTAAATTGACTGCAGCTAACCCTTACCCACAGTGAACTTGTGAGGCCTCTAGGAAAGATGTTATGTTAGGTGGAACAACAAAACTGAACATCTGTTGTGTTCTTTCTCTGTAACTTGAAATGGGCAAATTACAGTATTGTGAATTACTTTTGTCTTCTTTTCCTAAAGTATCTTCTGTCTGCAATAGAGACATACGTTTTGAGTCACTAAAATGCTGTCATTAACTATTTTTTTAATTTTACTTTTTTATGTTGGAGTTTAGTCAGTTTACAGTGTTTTGTTAGTTTCAGGTGAATAGCACAGTGGTTTAGTTTAAAAGGGCTTTCATTAGCTTTTAAATGAACGTTGCCTGACCTTGAGTAGACAAGTTCTGAGGCATCTTGTAAACCCTTAAGATGATATGATATGTGCAGTTGTATGTGTTACTGTTCACACCATGGGGATGGTAATAGATGCATTTTTTACAATAGCGATTCTGTGGAATACATCATGATGCTAGTATGAAAGTAAGCTCAAATCTGACTGTCACGTAGGTTCACGAGAGAGAAGTTGTACTTTCTTACCTTGTTGAATTAGACCTGGTAAAAATTACTCAGAAAAGAAATTAAACAAATAAAAAATATATGTTGTCTATATAAATGAAAACTTAAGAGCTGAGGATTAGTATGATGATAGAGTAACACTAGGTTTTATCTGATGTTCTATTCTAATGAATATTTTTGTATGTATTTTTTTGCTCTTATGCATGAGCACATTTGTAGGATATGTTTCTAGGAATGAACTTTCTCAAAAATATGAGCATTTAACATTTTCACAGATAGTGCTAATTTGTCTTAACTTGTTCTTTTTAAAAAATTATTTTATTAGAATTGTGAAGTTGTCAGACTAGTATAAAGAACCCCCTCTAACCTTTACTTAGCTACAGAAATGATCAGTCTTGTTTAATCTATAGCCACCACATTTCGACCCTTCTCAATAATTTTGAAACAAATCTCACATATTTTATGCATAAATAATTCTGTGTATATCTCTAAAAGATAAGGACTTTAAAAACTAATAACCATGATAATATTCTTGTACTTTAAAATATAAAGGTTTTTCATATCATTAAATATTCATTGTGTACATTTCAGTTGAGTCATAAATACCATTATTTTTAATGCTTTGTTTGAATCCTTGTCCACATAAGCAGTTGGCAGATACATCCTTTACATCTTTAAAATTAAAAGTTTCCAGTCCATCTTTTTTTCTTTTCCCCCCTTTACAATGTATTTGTTGTAACTACCAGGGCTTTGATCTGTAGTTTTCAAGTCTGTGTTTTGCTAATTGTATACCTATGGTGTAATTAAAATGTTAGAGTCCTCTACATTTCCTTTAAATTTGTAGCTGTATCTGGACGCTTAATTGGATTCGGGTTTATAGATGGTGGTGTGTTCTTCCATCTGGAAGTGTACAGTGTCTAGTTGATTTTTTTAATGAGATTAGCCACTAATACATTCAAAGCATCAGTCCATTAATTCATTAAGGATTGCAAGATTGTGATATTCTAATTCATCTTTCTGTTTTTATTTATAAGTTGATTATTTCTGTGAAGCTGGGTGATCTGTTGTTATCCATTGGTATAGCTCATATAGCCAAGGAAAGAAAAAGACTTGATTCTCTTTGTGTATTTAGTAAGTTTCAAAATAGTAAATTGGCTAACATCCTCCAGTGGTGATCAATCACTTCTAGTCATCAGAAGTTGTTATCTTTATCAACATTCAGATTTTTCCAATTTCGATTGGTGAGAACCCCTTAAGTTGACTCTTAAGTCTTTAAGTAGACTTTTAACTTCCTTTCTACTACTATACCTGATGCTTCAGGCTCATCTTGTAAATATTCTATTCAGACCTGCAATCAGCCATTGGTCCTAGGAGCCCTAGTTCCTAACACCTTTATCCTTGGATCTAGCTAATCCATTGTCTTCTTAATAGACTTCATGCTAATCAAAAGAAATGCAAGATTTATTTAATTTTTTTAACTTTTTATTTTATGTTAGAGGATAGTTGATTAACAGTGTTGTAATAATTTCATATGTCCAGCTAAGTGATTCAGTTATACACATACACGTTATCTGTTCTTTTTCAGTCTTCTCCCATTTAGGTTGTCACACAGTGTTTGGCAGAGTTCCTTATGCTTCACAGGTTGTCACTTTAAACACAGTGGTATCGACTTACCAACCCCAGAGTCCCCAGCGGCTCCCCTCCTCCACCTACCCCAGCAACCAGAAGTGTGTTCTCTAAGTCTCTCGGTCTGTTTCTGCTTTGTAGATAAGTTCATTTTGTATCATCCCTTTTAGATTCTGCAGATAAGCTATATCACACAGTCTTTCTCTGACTGACTTCACTCAGTGTGATAGTCTCCAGGTCCATCGAGGTTGCTGCAGATGGCATTACTGCTTTCTTCTCAGCGGTTCAGTAATAGTCCATTGTATACATGTATCGCATCTTTATTTGTTCCTCTGTCAATAGGACGTTTTAGGTTGCTTCCATTGTCTTGGCTGCTGTGAACGTTGCTGCAGTGATCGTTAGGGTGCATGTATCCTTTCAGACCATGTTTTTCTGTGGATATATGCCCAGGAGTGGGAGTGCTATGTTTTTAGATTTTTAAAGAACCTTCCTACTGTTTTCCGTAGTGACTGTACCAGTGTACGTTCCTGTCAACAAGGTAGGACGCTTCACGCACTGTGCCCGTCCTGTCCAGCATTTACTGTTTGTGGATGTTTTTATGATGGCCATTTTGACTGGTATGAGATGCTATCTGGTAGTTTTGATATGCAAGAAGTGTAAGATTTATAGTCAGTATATCTT